GAAAACCATCAAAATGATAAGTTCCCCTCGGCAATTTCTAATCACAGCTAGTAAAATAAAACAAGAATATAGTTCAGCTCCTGGAACTCGGTCATACCTTAACATTTTCTCTACTTGTTTGGCCACACTATATTCCAAATCTGCTTCTTTTTGTTTGGTCCGCCCTGATTTTGCCATCTTCTTTGACTCTAATATCCAAGGCAAAACATATAACTGATAATCCTCATGCAATGGTACATACTGCATGTGCCCAAAATTACAAGAAAAGTTAGCATTTAAAAAGGAGAAAAAATAGTTTCTACACCAGAAAGTAAAACTAACCTCATCCCTGAATAGTGTAAGAACTAAATTTTCCTTCAGTACAACCTGAAAGCCATTAGGGAAAATTAAGCAAAACAGAAGAACAGAACAGAGACTAAATAAAATAAAAGTAGGCTCTTAGAAGAATGAAAAAAAAATCCAAAAAAAATAACAGCCAATCACTTTCTAGCAGAATAATCCAAAACCATAAAGGTGTGCAGATAATTTTACTAAGATTTCAAGAACTCTAAACTCAGCCTTATTTGCTCTTTTGCCCATTAGCATATACCAATCTAAAGTGCAAACTCATTAACACACAAGAGAAGAAAGAACCAAAAGAGTTACCAGAGAAATATCAATGCTAGTGACATGAAGCAGTTCATCAGGACAAACTAGATACCTAAGTAACACCCAGTCCCTGTAAGCAGTAACATTTGCCAGATCTTGGGCCCTCTGTGGTATAAATATGATTTCAGATATTCAGATGCAATAAACACTGTACTTGATATGAAAAAAAAGTTCAAAATTGCTAAAATGATATAGAACAGAAACCAACTGGAAAGTACAAACATCTTAAAATATCTCAAAATCATTGCACTAACAGTATTTACCATCGGATGAGCAGAATTTGTAAGAATGTCTGGATATCGAGGATGATATGGACTTAAAAATCCCTCGTTTCTCAGCTTCCTTGTGTCTTTGGATAGGAAAATAATAGGATCTATGGCCTCTAAAACCTGGAAATAAAGAACAATCAGTCTAACTATCTCCAAGATAAACACATGTGACTCTTGACGTTAAAGCTTTTGGAAAGATAAGGTTCTAGAACAATCATTTAACATTTAAGTGATATGAGCCACCACACTACATAAAACTAGACAAGCTTTCAAAGTAGTAAGGATTTATATCCTACATTTGAAAGTTATGTCCCTAATTACAACTTAGAGCAACTCTTCAGGCATTGTTAAGATTTCTTCATTCCTTTTGAAGAGCCGTTACAAACATTTACATCCAATAGAATCCTTGCTACAACTATGGCTACATGGATATAGTGACCTAAAATCCACAACCTTAAAAACAGTAGAAGTGATCTTTTCTTCCAGATTTGTCATACAAAGATTGACTGCATCTTTCACCATTAAAGAAAAAGGATAGCAACCATTTCAAAAATATAGATGGGAATTTTGTTAAGAGACAAATGAATATAGATGTTGAAAAGAGCAAATCGGGAGGGTAGATTTTCTCACTTCATGTGAAGGGCCATTTTCAGAAACCAGGCCACCAGCAAATTATTTTTTAAAACTTGAAAAAAAAAAATTTCTGGCTACAAGACAAGGATACTACAATGTATATACTTGGATAAAATGGTGTGCAAACATAACAGATAATGATTATCTCATTATATATCAAAAATAAATGTAAAAGAAAACCAGGAACATTATAAAATCATGTTCGTTAGATAAAGCATTAAAATGACCTCTCCAATGCGTTGGCTGACAAAATTGAGATCTTCTTGTAATCCTTTGAATGGCGGATCATAAGAGTCTACGAATTGAACCAACCTAAAATTCAAAGAAGGAAAATTACCGATGTTACTTGCAAATAAGCAAGAACAAGAATCATTTGTCAATTTGCTTTTAAGGAATATTCAAGTAAAAGCAGTATCAGCCATATTATGACTTCCTCACATAAAAGAGGGGAAGAACATTGGTTTATCCTAAAGAGGACGATTTTTCCATCATTATAAATATCCTGTGCTAACAAACAAGGTAACCAGCATTAGAGCATAAATACTAACTCAGTAATAAATCTTTTATCACATTATTAATGCAGCATTTCCTTCATGCTTCAGTCTTCTAAACACAGCAGCAAAATAGATAAAACAACTCTATGTTTTGATATCAAAACTAGTAAAAAGGTCATACCCTTCAAGCTTCCTAAAAAAAGGAAATATCCCCCAAGCATTTACATGCAAGAAATCAATTAAATGAATTCCAACATAATCAGAAGCAAACTGCATGGTTAAATGGTGAGTGAGTTCATACCGATGATAAAAATCACAGTCCCGGTCATTTCTTGAAATGGTATGCAAAAGATTATAAACTTGCAGCATCATCTTCCTTGGCAACTGTTATGAAGACATCAATTCCAAGACATGACTGGCAACAGTTTTTTGCAAACAAATACTTGTTTAAGAAAATAGCCATCAGTTCTCAAATAAGTAATATTATGTCTGTCTCTCAGACACACAAACTCATGCACACTTGCATGCGCACATAGGGAGAAGTATAATGCATGGAAGACTTACCTTCTCAGAAAAAAGATTAACACAAACAAAGGAACAGAATAGATCCATAAATGCATGTAGTATAAGCAAATTTTGATGAGGCTGCAAAAAGACTTTACCAAGTTACTATAGATATACAACAGAAAAATAGTCATCTTCAGCTTTAACTTGACCTAGCCAACAAAAATTTTAAGAGTTTCGATACAAATCAGGAAGGGTACAACAAAATCCTATCAGCAGCACCTAGTTAGATTAGATACCTTCCGGGTCTCACATCAGTCTAGTTCACACCTCCTATAGAGTCAAACACCAAACTGCAGGTGGACCACACCAGTACTTTTGAAAGCCACAAACAACTTGCAACATAGAAGAGTGAGTTCAAACTTACCAACAAGGTGATAACTGTACTACTTAGGTCCAATATGAGTCTCAAAGCTTGTTCTCGGAATGTCATCAAATCAAGAAGTAGCTAATACAAAGAAAACAAATCAATCACTATTAAAAGGATTCAACAAATTACAATTTTCATAGTCTAATTATACATAAGAAAGAGAGCTAACAATATATTTGAAGAATAAGAAAGTCAATGTTGTAAATTCCATATAACTAACAAGATGCCAGCAAGGCACTATGTAACTTAAATTATGCAGTGGCAAGTTTACAATCCTAAAACTTAAAGTCTTAAACTAGGAAGTGAATGAAACTTTGATAGATCTTAAATACGTTTCTGAACATATAAAAGGAGAATTTTGTTTTTGCAGGGAAACTAACCTCTCACCTGAACCCATGGTTCCAAACTCTGCAAATGAACTTCTGCACTATCATTCAAAGCATCCAAAGCAGCCTTATCAACCGGAACCAATATTTATCAAGACAACACAAATAGAAAAAAGCCACCAAACTTCCATGCGTAGCAACATGTAAAATTCAACTCTTACACGCGCAAGTTGCAGTTTTCTGAAGTGCTCTGGGAACTTTTTCGAGAGCAATATACAAATCCTCAGATGGTTGGGAAACACACCCGCTTTCCAAAACGTTTCTGAAAATACATGACCTATAGGATCGGGGTAGTCCATGATTTGGTTTAATCTATACATTTTGGCCATAAGGCCATCTGCAACTTCAATTAGTTGCCCTATCCACTCCATGTTTAAGCCCTTATGGGATCCACCGCCTGAACTCTGGACCTTTCCATCATCATTCATGTATCTAGAGCTCCTACCTGTCATAGGGTAAGTCGTCTCAGGACCCAAGTATTCAGCCCACCTTGATGGACCCTCCCATTCCATTGGTCTCCCAGCCGTGGGTGATGAATCTTGGGAAGAATAATGTTGCCGTGCTTTCGCCATGAATGAATCAATTCACTCAAAGGTTTTGCAAATGGAAGCTCGAACTAGAACCATAACTATATATAGTCTCACAAACTGCGCTGTGAAGAGTGTTCTTTCTCTTTTCTGTTCATTCAATTCAAAGATGAACAACCCAAAGCCTTAATTCAGTCAGAAAGAAAAGAACAAAAATTACTAGCACTGGTTGCTTTCAATCCTCCAAATTATCTAATTACAATTTATCAAAGGTTTGGATGTATTAACTTTACTTTACTCACAACAAATATGCTTAACGAAGAACATGACGTAAAAATACAAATATTTCCAATTAAGTCAAAGGTTTGTGCAATATTAAAACAAAACAAACTAAAAAATTCCAAAATTAGAAACGCAAAAACATAAAATTAAAAGTGTGTGAGTTGAAAGGATTTTTACCAAAGCATTTGATTGAAGCTCGACGGTGCTCTCTTCTTTACGACATGTTGTGAAGAACGAGACACAGATACAGAAAGCAACAAACGAACAATTGTTGTCGAGAATGCAAGAAAAAAAAAAAGCAAGACTCGGTTTTAGAAGTTTAGGTTTGAAAAGAAGTTTCTTTGTTGGTCCTTAAAGCAATATTTTAAAAAAAAAATGTGTCATTTTATTAATAATAACAATAAAATTTTAATGGAGGTGATAATTTCTCATTTCTTTTAAAAATTGTTCTAATTAAGTATTAATTATCAAGGGCAGTTGGAAAAACCAACCAAAAGAAATGAGCAGTTAGGACAGTTGAATGAAAATTATTGATAGATGTTGATCTTTTATGAAGTTGCTAAATGAACTTTGGTTTCGTAATTGAAGCAATGTGAAAAAGGGATTAATTTTAAGTGTCAGGATTGCATCCAAATTTAGAATGTCCATGTCGGTGGTTATGTGATAAAGACGTTATTTTTTATGGACTGATTTTACCAATAGAATTTGTTCAAGTATTGGCTGTAGATTTCCATTGGTGTTTCCCAAAACAAGATTTATCTTTATATTCCATTCTATTTGCCTGTGTTTCTGGGAGTGGTTAGTCTTGAACCAAGAAAAGAGAAGGCTAATCTAAACCGGAAGAGAAAATGGGGTCTGCTTTGCTCACATTTTGGCATGTGATTTTCAACAGATTCATTGAAGAGGAAAGGAAAAGGAAAGTCCTATGTAGAGTTCACCAAATGGTAGGTAAAAGACTCATTTACCAACGATATGGTAGCATGTTATGTGAAACATATCATTGATCTTCTGGGTCTGGGTGATGTCACCGAAACTCATTATTGGCGTCAGAAATGGAAAAAAAAATAGAGCATATTTGATGGAGAAGGTGCAGCTGGTCATGGACACTAAACCCTCATTCAAAGATTTGTAAATCCAATAATAAAATCATATGGTTTCAGTCATATCACAAATAGGTAATAGCTTGTTGGTGAGTTCATCAAAACATTAGCAACGGTAACGATGAAAATTGTTTGGCAAATGATAACGAAGTGGTGATAATGTTGATGGTGGCCGGTGGTCCTAATGATGCAGCAGCAGTGTTAATGGTGGTGGGCAAGGCATCATTGCTCAATAATATTAAGGATTTTGAACTGTTACTATTACATTCACAAGTCCCTGCACTTGTGGAAAATGGAAATAGTAGTTAAAAAGGTTAAGGAGTTATTCCTGGGAGGTAAGGGTAAAGTGGCTTGGGCTTCTTCCTTTTCTCCACCATTATAGCTTGAGTAGTTAGAACTATCCCAGCAACAGAGACAGCACTTTGTAGGGCACACCTTAAAACTCGACAAGGATCTACAACTCCAGCATTGATGAGATCTTCATATCTTCCGGACATTGCATTATAACCAATTTGCCATTCAGTCGTTCGAGTCTTCTCCACTACAACTTCTCCATCAACACCTGCATTAGTTGCAATTACTTTTGAAGGTGCAAGGAGTGCCTGCAGTTGATCAAACAAAATGTTAAAATTTAATCCTTCATAACCAATACAAATAAGCAATGAGTAATCTAATGAGACTAAACAGAAGAAGGAAAATAACAATACACTAAAAGACCTACAATACATATAAACAGACAGTTGAGTCCAGCACATGGTTATCTCAAGGAATCAGACATGTACCTTTGCTACAATATCAGCACCAATCTGTTCATCCAAGTCTTTCATAGAATTCTTTATTGAGTGAATCTTCTCTGAGAGATGTATATAAGTTGCACCACCACCAGGTACTATCCCTTCATCTAAGGCAGCAAATGTGGCGTTCTTTGCATCTTCAATTCTTAGTTTACGATCTTCAAGTTCCATCTCAGTATGTGCTCCTACCTACAGTTGTGATGCATATTGTTTAACCAATTTGAAGCAGAAAGGGACATGGGGATGGTAAAACATTCAGTTCTGCCTTTCAATCTCAGCGTATGCTTATGTTTCATGGTTGCAAACCTTAATGATTGCCACACCACCAGAGAGGTTAGCAATTCTTTCTGAGAGCTTTCTTGACAAGTATGCATTATCAGTCTCAGCTAGATCCTTCTTGATCTGCATAATTCTTGCCTGGATTTCATCTTTAGTAGAAGGATCTGCAACTATGGTTGTGGATTTACTTGTTATTGTCACTTTTCGTACAACCCCAAGCTGATCAGAAGTTGCATCAGCAAGCGTCATACCCAAATCTCCAGAAAGAAAATCCGCTCCTAATGATGTAGAAATGATGTCAGTTTGCCAGCATATAAAACTGAATGCAAGAAGAAACTTGTCATATTGTGATGCATATAAAACAATCTTCATGAATCATGAGCATATTAAAAGAGGCATTCACACTTTCAGATGATAAAATGAGGCACCGGAGAGATTTAGGGGAATTCAACATCTAAATTACACATTATAATAATGAAATGAGAAAAATAGTAAGCAAAACACAACACTGTACCCAAATGAGTTTAAACAACTATTTTACACCAAGACCTCTTGTTAGATTAAATTGTTTTATCAAAGAAGACACAGATGATCATCATTGGAATTATATAAAGAAGACATGTGACAAGTTTGATTATATAAAGCAATTTAACCTGTCATAAGGGCAATATCTTGCAACAGGGCTTTCTTTGCTTCCATTAGTCCTGGACATTTGACAACAGCAACATTAATTAAACCTTGCATTTTGTTCAAAACTAGTGTTTTCAGCACTTTCATTGAGATATCCTCAGCAAAGACTAGCAGAGGGACACTCAGTTGCATGGTCTTTTCTAGTAAAGGAACAATTTCTTTGACATCTGAAATCTTTTTATCAGTTACAAGGACTTTAGCATTGTCAAACTCCACAATAGATTTTTCCTGATTTGTAATGAACTGTGGTGACATATATCCCTTGTCAATCTGCAGAAAGCAAATATTAAATCTAATCAAATAAAAAGTTAAAAGAATTCCAAAAGCACGGCAATGGGCAAATGTTCAATCATCTTAATAAATTCAGTCATGAGATTCTAAGAATTTAGATTATAAATTAGGAATTCTGCTACATGCGGTTAAATGTCAAAAGAATTTTATGATTTATCTGTTTACTCGTTTAAAGGATTTAGAGTTTCCACCGAGACACGGACTAAACTGAATGTGAATCTAAATATGAAAGCTTAACATTTCTAACTTAAGACTAAATTAAAATTTCAATTTTAGCAAAATCTAATGCGACGTTATGCACAAATGAATGTTTTCTTTTAGACACTTATAAAGTACTGGTGAGAAGGAGTCAGCTTTACCACCTTCATTCCTTCTTCAATTATCACAGAGGTTTCAGATGATGAGGATGACTCAATAGAAATCACTCCATCGGGGCCAATCTTGTCTATGGCTTCAGCAATCAGGTTCCCAATAAATTCATCATTACCAGCAGAGATTGAAGCCACAGCTGTGAAAAAAAAAAAAGAAAAAAGGAAGAGTTCCAAATTATCAATGTTTCCAAAAAAAATATGATACAATTCATTGAGCAAATCCATGTGAAAAATAATAACAACCTTTTATATCCTCCCTCCCTTTCACAGGCAAACTTTTCTTCTTCAGGACCCTAATCAATTCTTTCACAGCTTTATCCATACCCCTTTTCAGTGAAACTGGATTAGCTCCAAAAGAAACTGCCAACAATCCAAACTTGATCATGGCTCGAGCTAAAATGATTGCAGTAGTAGTACCATCACCAGCCAAATCATTCATTTTACCTGCGACCTGCATCGAGGCACATAAAACTTACATATTTCTGATTGTTTATTTCCCAAAATAAGCAATGCAAGCGTGGGAGGAAATCTGGCAATCATGAATGACCTCTTGTATTAGCATTGCTCCTGTATTCTCAATTGTATCAGAAAGCTCTATAGCTCGAGCAATGGTGACACCATCATTAACTACTTTCAGTTTATCAGACTCAAAAAGAACAACATTACGTCCTGCATGGTTCAACTAAAATAGATTAGGAACTCATATTAAGTATGCAGTATGTTCATGTTAATGAACACTGAAATTTCACATCCAACAAGTAAAAATAAATTATCTCTTCATTTCATTCTGAATCATATGGCAGTGTCAAATATAGCACTTCTTGTCTTATAACCCAAAGGGCATAAAGGCTTAATGCTAAAGGGAGCACTTTGGGCACCTGCATGTAAGCTTGAGGTGCCTATAGGACATATGAGACAAGTCTCAGGTCAACATTCATTTAAGACAAGTTAACAAGTAAATAAGACATATTTACACAAACAAAGGTATCTGAGCATTACGAGAAGGGTAAAAGATTCCATCTTTAAGCGCCCTTTAACCATAACATTCTCTCTGATAATGTAATTAAAACTCCCAAAATCCTTGTAATCCAACTTTGAATTCTCAGCTCATCCAAGGCAACTATAACTCAACAAAATTGGAAAGAAAGGAGAGTAGCCAATTGAAGAAAAAAGAAAAGCAAGAAAAGCTAGCCAAGTTTACCTCTAGGACCCAAGGTGACAGAAACAGCATCAGCTAACTTATCAATCCCAGCTTGTAATGCCTCTCTGCAATCTCTCCCGAAAGATATCCTCTTTGGACCAGCTCTCACCATCAAACTCCTAACTATCAGCGGTTTTCTTAACAGCCCACTTGCTCTTCTACTCCCATCAACGTTCTGCAACGGTACCCACTTCTTCATTGAAATTAAACATGCGTAGAACAAAGAACAGACATAACTACAGATAGAGAGAGATACTTACAGTTCCAGAGAAGAAAGCAAATTGAGGGATTAGCGAACGTGAAGATGAGACGGACATATCCCTTCAACTTTCAAGAACGTTTCGTGGGCTTCGAGGTTTCAGAGTTTTAGATCGAGTCCTGAACTGAAAGTTGAAACTTGAGAGGCTTTAAAAAGGGTTTAACGTAAATGGGCTAACGGCGATTACGACTCGGCCACTCGGGTGAGTCCAACAACGAGTCTATTCACAAATATTCCCGTCATAGGCTTATTCTAGTCATGGCAAAATTAAAAATTTTGGAAAAGCTTAATAAGGAAGGGAAATTTATAATGCAAGGAAGAAAAAAGGTTTCATTATACCCTATTATGTAAATTTAACTAATTAATTTAATACAGTAAGAGAAACCTTTCAATATCGTTTATTAGAAGAAATGATTGTGCATTACTATTGTAACATTGCCTTGTGCTGCTCCGTAGCGACCATGGGCAATGACCATCGCAACATTTTGAAGGCAAAGAGTCAAGCCCGTGGTTGGTGGATACATGCAGAACATCAACCTGAATCATTCTTGAATTGTTTCATATGCTTGCCAGCATCATTTCCATTAGGAAAATCCAAATCATTATTCCTTGAACTATCTTAAACAAACACGAAACCAAATCAAAACCCAAGATAGAGGGACATGAAACTACATGGTCTGATAGAAACATCAAAAAGAAAGCTACATTTTCAACCAGTCGGCTTCCCGGATATAGCTATTATTTCTCTTTTCATAGCATCCTTCTCGGCAGAATGCCTTGAGATCCAACATGGCCAGGGCATCTCGTCTCAGTGCTTTGAATCTTCTTCCTCGCAGAACTTGGAGTATTGATCTGAGTCCATCAACTTTTTCAACTCCCCGGCATCATTCATCTCAACCTTTATAATCCATCCATTCTCATATGGACTTGAGTTAACCTAAATTGTCAGGAACAAAGATTGCCAATATAAGCAAAAGTGAATAGTATATTACTGAAATGAAGGGCAATAAAGCAATTAAAAGACACTTTAAAAATCCAAATGATCTTTGAAGACTGTAGCTCATAGCCAGCTAATCAATGAAACATATTGACCTGAGGCACTTAAAGGTAGCTAAGCTCAATAAAAAAGCAAAAAAACGAATAAGACCTGGGATGTCTTAACAATGAAGACTTGGACCGGTAGTAGCATTCAGGATCAAGATAAACGAAATGTTGGGTACTAACATCCTAAAGAAACAGAAAAATTAACTTCTGAGACATTGATGTATGGAAGAACATGGCCATTATGGTGAAAACACAAGCACAAAGGTGAATGCACATATACACACACGTAGGGGAGGAAACTTACATTCAATGAAAAGCACCAACCCAGTTCAGAAGGCACACTTGCCCAATTAGTATAATTGATTGCAAATCCTAAGAAAAGATATGAAAGAAATAGTCTCGGATAGGATAGAAGTGATACCAGAGCGGGAGAGTTGTTGAGCTCTTCATTAACTTCAACCACTTTCCCTGAGACAGGAGAATTAACATCACTAGTAGCCTTGACACTTTCAACAGCTCCAAAACTGTCACCCTGCTTTACAGCAGCTCCCACTTCAGGTAATTCAACGTACACAACATCACCTAAATGATCTTGAGCATGATCAGTTATACCAATTGTGGCAGAGTTACCATTAACCTTCACCCACTCATGAGAATCGGCATATTTCAGATCCTTTAAAACTGCAGGAACATGGAAGAGATGTATTAGCTGCAGTAACACAAACAACAAGCTGTGACAGGGGAAATAGATGAAGTAGTTGCAACTCTAGACACAAATAATACCACAAATTGCAGTTGATCAAGGGATCAAAAGAATTGATATCCATTTCACATACAGGCATCATGGGCATTAGAACATGCCTACAGTAATATGATAGTGATATTCATCATGTACTTTAACAAAATTCCTCCATTAAGGTGTTGTGCTCTTGGGTGCTTTCTTGTCACTTTCAAGGAAAAAGGAAGAGCAAAGTTTGAAGTTATATCATAGTGAACACAGTTACATACTGCTAATTTTAATTCCAGATGTAAAACTCAATGATACAGAAACACCACCAACGAACTGTAAGATAACAATAAGATACCCACCACAGGTTGAGAACATAAGCATGCCAAGAATCTATAAAGTTTCACATCCTTTCAATTTCTGCTAATTTGCTATTGCAAATTCTGATACAGTTAACAATACATATCAGCAGGCAGACATCCAAGACTATTGCTTGATTCTGTTTAACAACAGAGTGCCCCTAATGACAATTGGACTGCATAGCATGAGGAATCATAATGAATATGAGGGATTAATAAACAGTCTGGTCTACATATATTACATCCCATTAATCAGTTGCAGTAAATTGGTGCTTCCCCTAAATCCAAATGGGCAGCTATCCGAACCGTCGCTCTCAGTTCTATTTGCTCTGACACGCCAACCGCTGATATTAAGAAATGAGGACTGTACAAAAGAGGGAGGTGGTTATTGGAAATAGTTCATATAAGGTGCACATAGAGTTTCAGTTGGTTGCACTGCTATTTCCTGGCTTCTTGACTTTTTTTTTTTCTTGTCCAAATAAAGGAACAATCAAGCAAAACTCAAACAAAATTATTTTCATGGGCAACGCACAATCACCGCTGCACCAACAGTTGCCAGTTGTCACCATCCCCTCCACCTTTTCACCGATGTCATCACCACCAGATCACCATCACTCCTAATGCTCTAGTGTCAAGCACTAAACATGTTTTTAACTGTAAAATACTGTATAGAGAACAAAAATGGAAGTCTTTAGGCTCCTTTCTTAATCTTTAAGATGTTTTGTAAAATCAAAATTGAAAGAAAAGTTAAATGGCTCTGAATCAATGACAGCACAGCATTGATCAGAAACAAGATCCTAGATTACGGAAATTTGTGACATGTATATACCTATAGCAAAACAGAAATCCAAAAACTCTTAACACTACGTATTAGCAAAATAAAAGGACAACGGTCACATAAATCAAATCTTTTTTCTTTTTTTTTTTAAAGGTAAAGCCTTATATCAATCAAAGAAATGAGATCTCAATTTCCAGTAACACCCAAAGCCATTTTCCTGTATCAGTATGACAGTATCCTCATGATCATACATAAGAAACCATGAAAACTATCAAGAGAGAGAAGAAAAGTTAGTGGGGGTAACGGGTTACCAGTGGAAAACCCTCTATGGAACGCAGAGATCCTGAGGTAAGAAGCCGCCCTTGAAGCCCACAACATTCTTGAAGCCTTTTCTAATGTAAATCTCGACAACCCTTAACACTTGCAGCAGAGTTGTCTTGTGTTTCAATGCAACCAGTAGAGTTTGTTTCGTTTATGTTTTTGGTGTGGTTGGTGAGTGTATTTTCCTTTTATTTTAATTTTTTTTTCTGTAGGAAAGGGCGTGATTAAGCAATGTTTTATTTATTTGACAAATAAATATTAATTTTAGTGAGATTAAAAATAATAATAATAATAATTATTATTATTATTATAAAATTATAAAATATTTTAATAAAAATTTATATTTTATTTAAATAAATATTTAAATTCAACTAAAAATAAAACTATAAGTTTAATCACATCATACAAAAATACCTAGGCTTAGCCAATAAATACGGAACAGTGGGATTATGGACGAAAATTGGAAACAAAGAAAAGGGGGCATAAAATCTCATAGACATGGATGGTGGTGAGTCAATGTGTCAACAAAACCCCATTTGTTTTAGTTTAAGAGGGATGTTGGTGACAGGTGAGACTGAAAGAGAGCTGACTTTGGGCTTTGGCTACCTTCTGGCTCAACCCTGAAGACTTCATTTGTTGCTTTATGCTTTTCACCGAGTTAACTTGGACTTTCAATTAAACAATTATATTCGACATGGCCAACTCCAACCAATTTCTTTTGTTGCTTTGCGCCATTTGTGTCGATCTTATATCCTTAATACTATGTATTATGTCGCTTTTTTACCCTTCTTAAGAAATAATACTACATTTTGCTTTATTTCAAAAATAACAAAAAAATTATTTCATGGTTCATCCTTTTATTTTAGCCGCTGCCCATCCATCCCTGTGTTTCAATCAAAGCCCAAATGGATTGTAAGTCGAACATTCAGACTAGGGTTTGGGCTTGAAAGACGGGTTCAAGCCTGTCATCCAATTGAAACTACTCAGCACAATGATTGTAGCACTACTGTTTTTTTTTAAACATCAAAGCACATTTTTTCAACAAAATTTCCAATGGAGACTGAAAAAAAAAAAAAAACAGTGGTCAGTAGGGTCTTATAAATCTTCATCGCCCAAATTGATCATGTTCCAAGCAAGATAAAGTACTAATGAATAATGATTATATACAAACAGCAACATGTCCTAACACTTGTAACAATCACAAAAACATTTTCTTTCTTTTGTAGCAGCATCGTGTCAAGATGCATTCCACATTTTGGAATTTGAGATATCAATTTAACAATTTTATTGCAAAATCAACCTGCATGGATGACTAAAAACATACTAACTTTTCAGGATAATAATGGAGGCCAACAACTGACCAAACAAAATCCTACAATCATTTAACAAAAGAGACCTTAAAACCATTTTCTTCCTTCTTTGATTGCTGGAAAAAGGCCCCATCAAATCAAGCATCAATTTCCATTAATCCACTCTCTGGAATCACCCTTCTCTTCCTGGAAAACAAGACAAGGGAGCGAAAATAACCATCCAGCAATCAAAACCTTATAGCACATATAGCATGGGAATTTCCCCTTAGCATTCAACCCACATGCAACAATAAACCCCCATTCAACTATGACAATCTAGCAGACAAGCAAAATGAAAAAAAAAAAAAAAATTGGTGATTGAGTCTTTCACATCACTAAATAAACAACAGAAATTACTTGCTTAAGCAAAGCTGCCTATTGTCTTAGGCCTCATCATGTTCTTCATCTAGTGCCTAAAACACAAGAAAGTCGAGTAAGCGATGACATGAACTCTTTTGCTGATCACATAGGAAAGTTGATAATGAAGTGAGTGTTGCTAGTAACAAGTATAGATTAAATTAGACTTCTAGGAGATCAGGCTTATGAAAGTAGGATTACCATAACCTTAGTACAATGAATGTACTAATATCTGGTTCGCAGCCATCTGAAAACGTTCAAATTTATTCAAAAAAACATAAACCCATAATTTCAAAAAGTTTAATTGAAGCAGAAGAAGAAATCGGACGGAAGTTGAAAGCCTGGCGAAGAGCAAATAATTTCCCTCTCATTTTTCCTTCCTCTCAGTTTTCAGGGGTAGGGTTTTTCGTGCTCCGGATTCTGGGGTTTGGGGCTTCGGGATTTGCAGGTACCGAAAACCACTGCGGAGCTGCAAATAGCCCACTAAGAATAACTTAGCCGGCCCAAAACCCACAATTAAATCCCATTTCAAGCTCGAATGGCCTCCACTCAAGCATTAAGGATGCTATATGGGCTTAGAGATATGGGTTCACCACTGCTGTTCAAACCCAGTTGCGAGGTTTTCTTTTTCCTAATTTATGCCACACTTATTTTGCACTTTTATGATATAATATAATATATACAATATGTAATTAGATACTTTCTTCTTTTTTTGGTAAAATTATATATTAGATGGCTTTTTCATTTAGATTTCTTTTAATATATTAATTTTTTTAGTTTTTAATTTCAATAATTTCATACCACACAACACAAAAATAATAAGTATGAAGATAATAATTTTTTTATCAAAAACTAATATATAGTTGAACAAATTATTATGAGTATTTTGACTGTTAAATTTAAGAAATTAATATAAATAATTCAATGATTAAGTTAGCAGATCACGATTTTCATTCTCCAATAAATTAACATTACGTAACTGTTTTATATAATACTTTTCTAATTGTTGTATATTTAAAAAATTGTATAAATCCAAATTTAATTATTCATCACATACAGACAATTAATTATTAAAAAATGAATTATTTCAAATTTATAAAAGTTATGATAATTATATTAAAAATTATCAAAATTATCTTAAAGGTTAGAGAGAAAAGAGTTTTTTTATTCTAAATGGAGGGAACATATATTCTTTCTATATATTTTTTTTCATATTTTTTCTTTTCAAAATTCTTCAAAATTTGAAAAAGTTAATTTGAAATAATAAAATTTTTAGTTTTTATTTTAATATTTTGTTAGTGTATTTAATAATATTATTTATAATATCTTTTGGATTTTTTTCTCCTTCAAATATTATTTATATTATGTTTTGAAATTCATCAATTTTTTTATTTAAAAATTTTAATTTTTATTATGATTTGATAACTTAATTATATTATATACATTTTACATATATTTTAAACATGTAAAAAACAAATAATATTAATATATGTTTTTATACATTTAAACAAATAAAAATAATTTCTACATCGCATAAATAACAAAATAATCGGTATATCACATAAATATCAATGTGTATAGTTGATAGATATCCAACATAATTTACCTCTTCTATTTGAAATTACCAAACTCAAATAATTATGCCTTACTATTCGACCCCGCAATTAATTACAGTATGACAAATATAAAGCAATTAAGTAATTGATTTTCTTTAGATATGCAATGCCAGCCTTGATCATCAAGACGTACGACCGGCCACTTGCCAAACTATATAGATCTTGTCTGCTGTGAAGGTACAAGATCTTGAATGCGAAAGGCAGCACTTGTAATTGTCTTCCGCATACGATTTTATTCAGTGACTTTTACCTCTTGACCAAAATATATATAATAATATGAAAAATTATTTTAAATGTTTGTTAAATTTCATCAGAATTTATTCGATGCTTAAAATTTTATCAAAATTTATTAATTTTTTAAAATTTTATATAATAAGATTCGATTTTAATTTTTAATTTTATTTTTTATCTAATCAATTTTAGCAAAAAATTTCACAAGAAAGATAAAATAACAAAGCAAATTGTCCATTTCTGCTGATCATGACGCACATTGCCGACACCAAATATGATAAAATAATGAAGCAAATTGCCTGAAAGCCGACACGAAATGTTATCGTGCATTGAAGACTGAAAATAATTACCAAGAAATATGATTGCACTATGAGTGATTTCAATATCTGCATGCAGCAGCAAGGAAGCCAGAAGCCTCATACTTCATAAGAGAGACAAAGTTTATTTCAGTTTCAATGGCCGGCCTTGCATCTATAAGTGATCATGAGCTCCGGAGCTGTTCTACAAACAATGTTAACCCCCTAAATCCTGAGGAATTCAGAAGGCAAGGTCACATGATCATAGATTTCCTAGCTGATTATTACCAAAACATTGAGAAATACCTCGTTCTCAGTCAAGTTGAACCGGGCTACCTTGGAAAAATCTTGCCAATGTCCGCACCATACAATGCAGAACCCGTGGAAGCAATCCTTCAAGATGTTCAGCAACATATCATCCCTGGTATAACACACTGGCAAAGTCCTAACTATCTTGCATAATTTCCTTCGAGTGGCAGCATTGCTGGCTTCCTTGGAGAAGTTCTTAGCGCCGGTTTCAATGCGGTGGGATTCAATTGGATAACATCACCAGCTGCGACCGAGCTAGAATCCATAGTCATGGATTGGCTTGGACTAATATTTCAGCTTCCTCAAACTTTCCCGTTCTCCGGCGATGTAGGGGGTGTGATACAGGGAACTACCTGCGAGGCCCTTTTGTGTACACTAACAGCCGCAAGAGATGAAATGTTGAGCAAAATTGGGAGGGAGAACGTTGGGAAATTATTTGTGTATGGGTCAGACCAAACACATAGTGCTCTAGCAAAGGCAGCAAAAATTACCAGTATCAACCCTAAGAACTTTCGAGCCATCAAGACAACAAAATCAACGTCATTTGGTTTGTCACCAGAATCATTACAGATTGCAATCAGCTTGGACTAAAAAGCTGGATTAGTTCCACTCTATCTCTGTGCAACAATAGGGACAACATCAACCACTGCTGTTGATCCATTGGGGCTGCTATGTGATGTGGCCAAAAAATATGGAATGTGGGTTCATGTTGATGCTGCTTATGCGGCAAGTGCCTGTATTTGCCCTGTGTTTCGACATTTTATCAATGGCGTAGAAGGTGCCAATTCTTTCAGTCTTAATGCTCATAAATGGTTGTTCACCACTTTGGACTGCTGTTGTCTTCGGGAAGGATCCAAGTAGTCTTATAAAATCTCTCTCAATAAATCCAGAATTCCTGCGAAATAAAGCTAGTGATTTGAAACAAGTGGTAGAATACAAAGATTGGCAGACAACTCTCAGTAGAAGGTTTCGAGCTATGAAACTTTGGCTTGTACTGAGAAGTTATGGTGTGGCGAATCTTAGAAACTTTCTAAGAAGCCACGTTAAAATGGCAAAACTTTGCGAAGAGTTTGTGGCTAGCGACAATAGGTTTGAAGTAGTAGTACCCAGGTATTTTGCTATGGTTTGTTTTAGGGTTTTGCCATCAGCATTGTGTAATAAAACTCAAAATGAATATTATGGGAAAGATAGTGTGGATCAGACGCATGCAAACAAGTTTAATCGGAAATTATTAGAGTCAATAAACGCATCAGGACGCTTATACATGACTCATTCTCAGTTCGATGGAATCTATATGATAAGATTTGCTATTGGTGCCACTCTTACAGAGGATAGACATGTTATTAAGGCTTGGAAGGTGGTGCGAGGGATGGTGGATACCATGCTCAACGCAGATCAGTAAGATTATTTTTGCCGGTCTTCGGTAAGATTTTTTTTTTTCTCTTGGTTTCTTAATATCTGCAATTAATGTAATAAAGCTCGTTCTGGAAATCTGGTTCTAACTTGGAAAGCTCTAAATGGATCATCTGCATTTTTTCATTTTTCCTTTTGAATGGATTTGCGTTTAAGGTGTTTCTAAATTCTAATGTTAGAAGAGAATTGTTGGAGAATGAAAGAAAGGTGGAGGGTTTATCATTACAACTCGACAGCGAACTTCTGGCTTTACAGGGTAGACGGCCAATGTGATTAATTGATTACAAACGTATCTCTACAATAAATCTACAGCGAACTTCAGGCCAATGTCATTTTCATTTATTATAAATGTATCTGTAATAAATACAGTCTTCCATTTCATAACAACTAGCAAGGCAAAAACAAATAATATTCATTTTTAATCATTCAAATTCAAATAAAATAACTATGAAGTTGTTATTTTGAAAAGTAGCGAAAATTATTTTTGTTTCATGCTGAACGTAGCGGAAGTAGCTTCCTCATTCTCGTCCAGTAGCCATTCTGAGAGGGAGCAGGAATGTTCAATGCATGTAACAGACAAAACTAAATAGCAAACAAATGGCTTCATGATTGGATGAACCACTCAATGATTGATGCATATGCATTGTGTTTACATGAGGAACAAAATTTAAACTATTCCAATGTTTTCCTTTTATATGGTATATATGAAAAAGACTTATTTTAGAACATATGTAAGAATAAGACATAGATATATAAACATCATTTGCAACTAATATATATAAATATATATATACATATATTATGAATATATTTACTGTTATTATTATTATCATTTTACTTAAAAAGTTTCAATGATAAAGTATTATTGACTAGTGATTATATTAGTAACGTATCAAAACTAAAAAAAAAACTACAATTAATTTATCGGCTCTCTTTTCACAAAAGAATAACAAATTTGACATTATTGATAGCCCATGAAATCAACAGCTTTTGACTTTTGATATTCTTGTTCAGTAATTCATCCAATTCGAGTTGCTGCATATGTCAGTTATCACACAAACACAGTTTCAACGAAATTGAAATTCTACATAACTTACATTGAATGTACGATAACAGGTTCCCGACGTTACATTGAAAGTATAATAACAGGTTCTCAATGTCCCAAGTGCCACACCAATTACAGTAAAATTCTTGATTCCAAAGAAAATCTCAAAGTGAATTGATACGACAAAAAATGAAAAGCATAAAGATTAGTCAAGATCTGACTAATTCTTCATAAATTGGGTTTTCCATTTGGGTTTTGGCCTCCTACTGAAGATTTGCTGCTTCACCTTGCAGCCAGTTAGATCACAGACAACTATCCTCAGCATCATCAACAATATCAATTTTCTTACCATATTTGAGATGAGGATCATAGTACATAATGTTGATTCATGCTTCCAAGAGCAAAAGGCAATATCTAAGGAAGTTCAGTTCAGAAGACAAGTTTTCAACCGGCCATCTTTAGCTTGCCCAACTCAATCCTTCTAGGGTTCTGAGGATTACATAACCAAAGAAAATCATGACCGGCCCAATTACGTGATAATACAATAGGAAACAAGAGGCTTCGTATAAAGCAGAGGAAGCAAACAATTAAAATATACACCAACGATCAACATTTGGTAGGGGGCAAAATAAATAAATAACTTACCTGGCCATTTTGTTGTATGCGAACATCAAAAAGATTACCATTCACATTATACCTCCTTTTCTAGAAGAATATGAACATATGAAAGAAAAACCATTAAAGCCCATGCTCCACACCACCGTATAATTGACATTTTTAACAGATAATATAAAAAACAAATTAATATACGTTACACCCAGCATAAATCGTAAGGAAGAGGGAAATCACTTACAAACCTTGTCTTGTGGTTTCTTTAAATGCTCAGGATCAGAATCAAGACGTCTAATTTTGTTTTTATTTTTATCACTGTGACGATGCTTATGCTTATTTTTATCTTTCTCTTTATCTTTGTCTTTTTGCTTTCTATGCTTCCTATTGTTGTCTTTGGACTCAGCTCTTGACTTAGACACGATTACGGGGATCCCCTTCTCAGCCTGTTAAACATTAGATCAAGGTAAATAGACATCAATATTAAAAGATATCAATTTTCAGTACACTGCAGCACATGTGGCTCAGTAGATCACATGGCAAAAACTATATCACAAGTACCTAATTCTCCAAGTTACACTTTATGGCAAAAAAAATTAGAAGGGGCTGGGGGAAGAAAAACCTAAGGTATGACGAAAAAATAGAGAAATACACAGCTAAATGCCATACCAAAGGCAGGTCAACCTGAGCAGTTTCATTCATTTGAAAGGCTTCCCCAAGTAAATCCAAGTCAAAATGACCTATGTGTAGATTTCTCCGTCTCGAATCAGAGGCATTTTGGAAAAGCTGGTGCAACTCCATACCTTCGCCCTTCCTGATTTCTGTGTCTCCAACTACATTTCGAAGATAGTTCGTTTCTGATATTAACAAAGGAAGTGATCTCTTGCAAAAGAAATCATGGTGCGGCCAGAGTTTGAATTGGTTTATGAGATCAGCAGCACCACCAAGTTCCTTAGGCCCTGTTATAGAATAAAGGGCCTTAGACAAACAAAAATGTACTCAAAACCAATGATATGATCTAATCACATCATAAATTTTACAATACTGAAATGGAGGAAAAAAAAATAAAAAAGAACCCACATAGGAATTTTGAAAGGGAATGTATATCAAATCATCCCAATACTACACAACAAAAAGGGAAAACATCAATCCATGATAAATTTTGCTTCATTTTTTCTAAAAAATTTCACTCTTGGAATCAAGGACAAAAGTAAATGAAAGATAAACACCCCAAATACATACCTCCTAACTTCTGGAAATATGCAAAACATGATGGATAATGAATTAGAGATTAATAAAAAATTACCCAAAACAAGGAAAGAAACCAAAGTACTATTAGTAATTAGCAATATTTAATATGTTTGAGAAAAAGCTCTCAAGAATTTCTCTCAAGGGTTTCATTTGATGAAGCTCAAAATTACTGTATCACTGTATTCAAACCCCACGAGATACCCTTCACATCGTGAAGCTCTGATAAAGCAGTGAATCAAACCGATAGCATGAACTGATAACTGAATAAATAAATTTATCATCAACATTCACCTAAAAATTGAACCACTAACTTTCAATCCCAAATTATTACTTGAAAGGAAAAGAAACTGTACCTCTTCCAAACTTCTTGCTTTCAAAATCCATAACATTAATCACAAATTTGCAAGCCACGCTTCTTCATCCGCGACCAAACAAGAAAAGCCGCGGGAGCAAATTGAACGGTTGAGATTCGCGGCTCTGTTGATCGCAGATTCGCGGGCGGGTGGTTGGACCGCAGTACGCTACCGAATCTAATTGGATTATTTTCTGCGAGGATGAATTTGCAACTGCCAACACTAAGAATTTAACCCTAAAGTTTTTGGGCCATATATTTGAAGCTCAATGACAGCCCAGTGTGCCATAGTTTTAAGTTCATTACTGTATTGGGCTAGACTGTGTCATGGACAGTAATGATGCAATCCAGCTATTAAAATGTTCTACTTTTTGGGTGATATTTCCATTTACAATGCTTTCGGCAACACACTGTTTATGGATTAAAAAAAGTTTAATTTACATATATTTATATTTAATACGTTGTTAATATATAACACTGCACATTATTAATGAGCTATGCAATGACATTAACACATATATACATTATAAAAAAAAATTAATAATTATACGATTTGTTAATAGAGTATTAATTTTTTTATTTTAATTATCAAAATTTGATTTTTAATAATATAAAAATGCCCAAAAATAAGCTTCATCTAAAAAATGTATCAAAAATGACTTAAGAACTTGGAATCTCGATTGAACACCATGGACTTTGGAATATCATGTAAAGATGCTACTGTTGGCCCATTTAAAATTGCCTTAACCTTGTTAGGATCTATCTTTATTCTTTCATTTGACACCACAAACCCTATAAACTCAAGGCTAAAAAAAATTATACTTTTTAAAGTTAGCATAAAGTTTTTGTTCCGTTAATATGTAAAATAACTGGTGTAGATGATTCAAATGTTGGTATTCATCTTTGCTATACACCAGAATATCATCAAAATATACTACTGCATATCTGTCAATACAAGGTTTAAGGATATGATTCATAAATCTTATGAAAGTACTACGAGCATTATGTAAATCAAAAGGCATTACCATCCATTTATAGAGATCATCCCTTGTCTTAAAAGTTGTTTTCCACTCATCTTCAGGCCTCATTTTGATTTGATGATAACCACTACGTAGGTCTATCTTGGAAAAAATGATTACTCTATGTAGTTAATTCAATAAGTCATCTAAACACGAAATATGAAAGCAATAGTCGACGATGATTTTCTTGACTGCCCTACTATCCACACACATACACCATGATCCATCCTTTTTAGGTACTAAATGGGCTGGGACTATATTAAAGCTCATGCTTTCGAGCACCATTCTTTTTCTCACTAATTCATCAACTTGGTGTTGCAACTCCGCATGCTTTTTAGGACTCATCTTATATGCTATCTTGTTGGGTAGAATAGCTCTTGGGATAAGATCTATGCAATATTGAATGTCCTTCATTGATGGTAAACTAACTGGTAACTCTTTTTGAATAATATTATAAAATTCTGCCAATAATGATTGTATCACTGTAGATGGCTCATCACTATCTTCATTCTTTTCAAGCAGCACTAGTGCATACATAGTACTATCCATCTTAATTTTTTTTTTTTATAATTGGCCTTGGTAAACAAGTTGTTTCATTTCCCTTTGGTTGGTTTTAACATTACTATAGGCTTGGTAGGGCTTAGGATGATTTTGCATCCATCTTTCATAAATGTGTAAGCATTATGGTAACCATTATAAATAACCCTCATATGATAATGCCAAGGTTTTTTTAGCAGTAAATGACAAGCATCCATTGGAGCTACATCACATCACATTTTGTCCTTATATTACTTTTTTATGAAAAAATGAATCAAATACCTCTTGCTAATCTTGATTTCATTCTTTTTTTGTAGCCAAGACAACTTATATAATTGAGGGTGATCCACTATTTTAAAGTATAATTTATGCATCATAAAAGTATAAACAATATTTTTAAAACTTTCACTATCAATTATAACATCACTTACCTTTCTATGGGCAGTACACTTAGTGCCTAACATGTTTTTACGCAATCTATCTTCTTCCTTAACAAGTGCAATACTTAAGCTGCATTGTATGACTAAGGATGCGTCATGATACTTATAGGTTACCTATTCATCATCTTCAAGGTTTTGATTCTCTTTAACCAGCTTCTCTTCATTTTTCTCAAAGTCTTTCTCTATTGGAGTCACAATTTTCCTATTTGTGCATTTTAAGGCAATGTGTCTAAGCCATTGATACTTAAAACACCTTCTGATTTGTGTACTAGATTGAAGCTTGCCTATTGAGGTTTTATCTTTTTTTTAGGGTTGTTTTGGAAAAGGCTTGAAAGAATAATAGTTTTGGATGAGCCACATTTATTGATATAGCTTTCTCAGAACTCGAATCTCAAGTTGTTACAATAGGCCTCCTTTTGTTGTTTCTTCACCTTAAGGGCAAGCTTACATACATCATTGAAAGTTCAATAAGGTTCAGTTGTACGACATTAGTTATCTCTCGAAGATATCATGCAATAGTCTGTTATTCTTATTCCTTTAATTCATATTTTAACATGAGATAGTCAAACTCAGTCGTGTACTACTCCACTAAAAGATCTCTTTGCTTCAAGTTATAGAGCTTAAAGAGAACGTTTTGATGAAAGTTGTTTATAAGATACTTTCTCTTCAACTCTTTTTTCATTTTTTTAAGTTGTAATTTTTCTTTTGCTTTCCTTTTCCCTTTACTTCTGTAAAATTTTCCACTAAAATGATGCATGCTTTCTAAGTTAGATGGCTATTGACTTCACTTTGCGATGTTCACGGACATTATGGTATTCAAAGATGTACTCCACTATGTGTAGCCAATCTAAAAATTTTTCAGGTTGCATATTCTTTTTTAACTCAAGAATCTTTATTTTTGGATTGAATATGCTATGTTGAAGTTAGTTTTTATGTATATAGTCTCTGACTTATTGTGAGTGAAGTGGGGTGCTATCATTAGAATCACTGTTATTTTCATGGTATGGATTAGTTTCTCCTTCATCTTTTTTGTTCCTCCTTCTTTGTCTCCTTATCTCCTATCTTTCTTCTTATATATACAGTTGTTATTGTAGTTAAAAGATCTGTTGTCGCATCTCCTCTATAAGAGTATCTCTTAGGTCAACATTGGTAGTTGCTACAACGTTAGTGTTGGCTTCAACCTCTTTTGCTAGTGTTTGATGACGATACCTGCCATAGCTTTGATACCAATTTGATATTAAAAATTACTGATTAAGATGTTGGAGATTAATAACAAACAGAAAAACTCATAAAAAAATAACTCACAAGAAGTTAAATAATAGTAGAATATGATTATTGAATTAAAAATGATAGAAGTTCACCACTAAGGCTAGATACTAAGAGATACATAAACACCACTCTAAAAATTATATCAATGATACAAAATAATAGAAGTTTACCGCTTTAGAAAATTCACTTAAGAGATACAAAATTTGAAGAATGATTTAAAAGATTACTTAAGGATAAAGAAAACTCTATTCTGCATTCTATCAAAGAATAACAAAAAATAAATAAACTAGGAACATCATTCAAAGCATGAAAACTTCATAGATTAAATTGCTAGTATCGTGCCTAAAATCATAAGATTTATATGTGAACATAATAATTTGTAATGTGAATGTAATTATCTGTCAATTTACTCCTGCAGATTACATGATAATGAATCTGACCACAATCTTATCCATATTCATACTCTTATTTTTCAGCTAGTGAGAACACAATCTTCCTATTTTAGCTCACTTTATTTATACATTTGTTTAGTAGATTTAGACCATTGAAGACTCATATTATTTTTAAATAAGTTTTTCTTAGTCTCAACTCAAATTATAAGATGTATTGACACTCCGAGATCAAATGTCTTATCTAACTCTTCGCGTAACCCTTTTTTATTTTTTTTCCTCCTCTAATGAAAATGAAACAAACCTACTTTGAAGCCAAAGTTATCAATTTCCTTTTCTTTCAATTGAAAATTAAGTAAAGTTAATAAATGATAAAGACAAAGTTTTATTTCGTAAATGATTCAACGAATTGTAATATGACTTCTCTTTTTCAATTGAAAACATTTTGTTTAATTTCTCCTAATCAAAATTTGCATAAATACTATTTTTAAGAAACAAAAGCTATAAAAATCTATAAGCGGAATGATAAATACACCAACTTTTTTTGGACTCAAATAATTCAAACACTCAAATGTCATTAATTTGGATAAATTTCATAATTAGTATATTTATGTAGTATAAAATATTAAAAATTTATATATTTTTTTGTATTTTATATAAAAATTATGTATCATAATTTATATTAATATAAAATATATTTTTAATTTTATTAAATTTATTTATAATTTTTATTAAAATTTTAAATTATATTATTTTTATATTTTTTGGTCATATTATTTTTATATTGATTCATTTTATTACATTTGAAATTGTTAGATTTGGGTTTATTTATGACTCTTATATCTTTGAATTAGAGAGTTCCGGCGGCAATTAGTTTAGAAAATTCGACCCCCAATATCATTGCTTTACACCTCTTTGAAAAAAAAAATAATTCTTAATATATATGTAGAAAAATGGCGAACCTCTCTTTTTCTCTTGGATACTTCCTTACTTGAACTGTCGGCAACTACTGCAATCGGCTGACACTTTACACGTGGCAGTGTTCCCATTGGTCAAAAACTTTCCTGTAATTTTTCTCATGTCTTTGAAGCAAAACTTTAAAACGCAAAACAGCGCACATAAATCCCGCACTCCACGATGTTATTCGCTGTTTATTGTCGGCAAGGGAAACTAGACTTATTCAATTCAATGCCTTGAAAGGTATTTTTCTTTCTCTTTTTGGAGAAAATTAGCAACAAAATTTGTCATTTAAGAAAATTTTCTCGGAAAAGTGTTTAGTTTGATACGAGGATGATGAAGCGAAAGGTCAATGTGTATGGTAAAGTGAGTGAAAGCTCAAACAAAACGCAGTCGTCGTCGTCGTCTTCCACGTCCATAGAAGAAGAAATTGAGTGGGAAATGAGACCCGGAGGGATGCTGGTGCAGAAAAGAACCCAAAACACTGATGTTTCAGCCCCTGATATTCGCTTACGTGTTGCTTACGGGACGGTGCGTTACGAGATCTCCGTGAACTCTCAAGCGACATTTGGTAACGTAGCCGGATCTGCTTAACTACTTACGTTTTTTCTTCCATGGGTTTTCATTTTCTTTTACTTTCCATTAGATGGTTGTTTGTTTGGTTGGTGAGAAAGTGGAAAGAAAATAATGAAAATGGGAATTGTTGGTAGTGAGTTTTTATTAAGTAAAGTTGCTGTTTTTACCATTACTTGGCTGTTGCATGGTTGTTTAAGACTCCTACTTTTTCCGTTTATTCATTACTTCAACAATAAACACTTCGTAATATTCTCTAACCCTTACAATGTAATAAATTTTGAGAGCTCTACTTTTTCTTTCTCTTCTTCCCCTAAGCTTTTATTTTTCTCAATTATTTTCCCATTGATAAGTGAACAAAAAGAAAATTATGTTGAGCAAGTAAGAATCATTTAAGTTTTGTAAATTTTTTTTTTATTTTTTGCTGCATTTTAATAAGTTTTTATTCATTGGTTGCACTTGGCCACTTGTTTCATAGCATAAGATAACAAATTAACAATAACATGCTTCCATGTTCTCACCTACTCTCACGGCGAGACTTATGAAAAAATTTACGTTATTTTAATTTCTTGATTATTAGTAGTAATGATTTACCGATTTATATAAATTGACGTGGGATCGGCGGTGGACCAATTAACAGGGGAGGTCAAGAAGCGTCTAACAGCAGAAACAGGGTTACAAGTGGGAGAGCAGAGAGTGATATTCAAAGGGAAAGAGAGAGAAAACGTTGAGTATTTGGACATGTGTGGAGTCAAAGACCGATCAAAACTTATAGTAATGGAAGACCCAGCAAGCATAGAGCGAAGGTTCATCGAGATGCGCAGAAACGCCAAGATCCAGACCGCATATCGTGCCATCAACGACGTCTCCATGGAAATTGACAAGCTGGTGGACCAAGTAAGCAATGATCCTATCAATTACTCATATGGCTGTCCAATACTTTATATTAAGATACTATTAGTAAATTTTCGATGCATTTATAACATTAAAAAAATCATGTAGCCCTTATTGATTAAGGAATTTGTCGGTGATAATTGGTTTTTTAGTACACAATCTAAAAGTTAAATAAGTTTAATGTTTGTTAATGCTAGGAGATTTTGGATGGGAAACCAAAAGACAATGAAAGAATCTGGGATTGTGGGGTGGTCAGGACAGCTAAAGTTTGTCGGGGGCTCATGATCAAACAGCTAGTTGACTATTTCCATTTTAGGAGCTTTGGTCCATTGGGTCCATGGCCCATCAGCTTATGTTCACTTGTACTTGATCCATCATGTCATTGTGATTTTTCTAGGGGTGTGTCACGGACTCACAGTCTTAGTTTTAGACTTAGCAAGACATAATTACTTGCTTTTTTATATTAAAAATGTATTGTTTCATCGCTGAAAGATTATGAGTTATGAATTTAGATGTTCTGCTTTTGGTCTCAGGTTTCTGCAATCGAAAAATCAATCTCCAATGGAGTTAAGGTACCGGAGGTTCAAATCACAACACTAATTGAGATGCTCATGAGACAAGCAATCAAGCTAGATAACATTGCTGCCGAGGGGGATGCTTTTGCCCAGAAAAATTTGCAGGTACCTGAAACTTGATTTTCCTTTCTATCAGATGAGAATTAGCTTATATATACACTTGTAGAAAAGCAGAGTTGCCATCCTTGGGGTCTACCCTTTCACTTCACTTCTTTTATGGCTCACAGTCATTATAAATAAAAACCTGCAATTGAAAATGTAATTCAAACTAATTGATGGTTCCGTTCTTCAGGGCAAGAGGGTTCAAAAATGCGTTGAAACCCTTGACACATTGAAGGTATCAAATGCTAGAGTAAAGCATGTTATTGTCACAACCAAATGGGAGACCTTTGATCCTTCTCCAGCCATGGCGCAATGGGAAATTTTTGATTGATCCAATGATCCTTACTTTACTGTCCATTTTCATTCTTTTTCCACCTTGGTATCTAGCTCAAGATAGACATAAAAGCAAACTATCTATTTGTACGTACAGCCCTTCATTGCCACATAATTTTCCAATATGCATTGGTGAGGATTTTATAAAATAAATGAAGCTTGATTGAAGCCATGAGTAATGATATAACTTTATTAAATTTGGGAGCAACTGTTTTGATCAAATATCAAAAACATTTGAGATAGATTAAAAATGTTCACTCCAATGGCTAATAAGATTATAGAATCCTTTATGAAGTAATTTTTTTCTACCAATGCCTATTTTATGCATCATGAAGAAAAAATTTCTACAACTTCGTTTAACTTTTAAGCTAAGGAGCTAAATTCCGATTTTGAAAGAGAGATAAATTCGAAATATATTTAATAATTTATTTATTTATATTATATCAAATTTTGTAAATAAAAAAAATTATTATATCAAATTTGTATCTATATATTAAATACAAATATATTTATTTTAATTTTTATTAAATTTTAATTCATATAATTTTTTTATCATTTTCGGGACGTATGACCAAGTATAAAATTAACGGGCGAGAGCCCCCGTGAGAAGTTTAAGCGAGTTCCAGGATACAGCCACACCCAGAAACCGCTGACCGCATACTAAGGGCGAGAAACAAGACTGATGAGACAAACATGAACCAATGCTCTCGAAGCACCCACGGAAACAACAGTTAGTCCTGTTCTTGTCTTTAGAACATGCTGTTCCGCAAACATGTTTCTACTCCACAACGCTACCCACCTCTTCTTCCCCACAAAATTCCGAATCTTTCATGGTCAAGAAATGCATTTCACTCTTACAAAACTGTGGCTCTTCTAAACTTAAACTCAGACAAATCCACGCTTTCTCTCTCAAGCATGGCTTCCCACTCAACCACCCTGATATTGCCAAACACCTTATTTACAACCTTGTTTCCCTCTCAACTCCAATGTCATATCCTCACAAAATCCTTTCTTGTATCCAGACCTCCAATGTATTTATTTGGAATACCATGATTAGAGGCTATGCTGAGAGTGAAAACCCAAAGCCAGCCCTTGAGTTATACCGCCAGATGCAGGCGTCTTGAATCGAACCTGATAACCACACTTACCCTTTTCTTTTAAAAGCCGTTGCAAAGCTGTCGGATGTAAGATTCGGGGAAAATGTACATTCCACTGTTATAAGAAATGGGTTTGACTCGTTGGTCTTTGTTCAGAATTCTTTGCTTCACATGTATGCTGCTTGTGGGCTCGTCGATACTGCGTATAAGGTGTTTGAATTAATTCCTGAGAAGGATGTTGTGGCTTGGAATTCTGTGATTAACGGGTTCGCTCTTAATGGGAAACCTAACGAGGCTTTGACTCTCTTTAGGGAAATGGGGTTGGAGGGTGTGGAGCCTGATGGGTTTACTTTGCTTAGCTTGTTATCTGCTTGTGCTGAGGTTGGTGCTTTGGCGTTGGGTCGGAGAGTTCACGTATACATGGTGAAGGTAGGCTTGACTGATAATTTACATGTTAATAATGCGCTTTTAGATCTTTATGCAAAGTGTGGAAGCATTAGAGAGGCAAAGAAAGTATTTGATGAGATGGAGGAAAGGAATGTAGTTTCTTGGAGTTCTTTGATTGTTGGATTGGCTGTTAATGGCTTTGGTAACGAAGCACTTCAGCTTTTCAATGAGATGGGAAGAGTGGGATTGGTGCCTAGTGAAGCTACTTTCGTTGGAGTTCTCTATGCTTGTAGTCATTGCGGGATGGTTGATGAAGGTTTCAGGTATTTTAAAAAGATGAAAGAGGAATATGGGATTTTGCCCAGGATAGAACATTATGGTTGCATGGTTGATTTGTTGGGTAGGGCTGGCTTGGTAAAGGAGGCATATCAATATATCCAAAGCATGCCAATGAAGCCTAATGCTGTTATTTGGAGGACATTGTTAGGAGCATGCACAATACATGGCCATTTGACTTTAGCAGAGTATGCAAGAGCTCGAGTATTAAAGCTAGAACCGGGATGTAGTGGTGACTATGTGCTCCTCTCTAACCTCTATGCATCAGAGCAACGCTGGTCTGATGCACACATAATGAGGAGAAAAATGCTTAGGGAAGGAGTGAAGAAAGTTCCAGGTTATAGCCTTGTAGAGTTGGGTAATCATGTTTATGAATTTCTCATGGGTGATAGAACTCATCCACATAGTGAGGAAATTTTTGCAATGCTAGCGGAAATAACAAAGAGGTTAAAATTAGAAGGTTATGCTCCCCGTACAGAAAATGTACTAGCGGATATAGAGGAAGAAGATAAGGAGAATGCTTTGTCTTACCATAGCGAGAAGATTGCGGTTGCTTTCATGCTACTTAAGACAGCACCAGGGACCCCGATTAGGGTTGTAAAGAATTTGAGAATTTGTGCAGATTGTCATTTGGCAATTAAGCTTATATCAAAGGTTTTCGAACGAGAGATTATCGTGAGGGATCAAAGCCGGTTTCACCATTTCAGAGATGGCTCCTGTTCTTGTAGGGATTACTGGTAAATTTATGATAGTTGTATCTGAGTTGATTCTATTCAAATACTAATAAACAATGTAGTTTACAATTCAAAGTACAGCGATGAAGTTGAATTCTCAAACTTGAAATGCACAGTTTGCTTACTTTCACTGCCCCCTCACTCTGTAAATGAAAATCCTATACGCAGTAATCTAGAAATTGATTACAATACATTTTTGAAAGATGGGTTTTCATTTGTTACTTGGTATCATCATTAAGCATCTCAGTAGTGTCAAGATATTCAAGTTAATAATCGAACTTATTGTCTTCATGCCTTGTCTGCAATGGTCTTTCTACAAATCAACTTATGGCAATCATTGTTTCGGCCTTCGGGGTATTTGACATAAAGCCAACCAGCGACCAATGGCTGTTAGGGCCTCAGCCCTCTGCCAGACCCTGTAAATAACTCCTTTTCTAGCCTATTGAGCGAGGCCTACTGGCCTTGAAATAGGACACAGGGAAGGCCTGGCTGCCTCGTCCGCACCTTTTGACTGATGGCCCAATTTTTTCAACAGTAATTCTGGCCCAATTTGATAAATAAAGAAAAAAAAAAGGCTTAAAAAAAAAAGGAATTTAGAAAATAGAGCCGAGGCGCCAAGCCGCCGACCTGCGAAAAATCTTGGCGGGTTAAATTTCGAAATTGAGATTTTGAGTTTCGCGCTTTCTTCTAAAACAATCTTCCGCCGTTCAAGTCTTTCCATGCGTCTTCCTTCCGTCGCCTATTCTCTTTCTCTCGCTCTCGATCTCAAGAAGAAAGGAAAATTATTTCCCCAGACGAACCAAAAATGGGGGATCCAAGTTACCTGGAGAAAATGGGCAGAGAGCTCAAATGCCCCATTTGGTATCATATACTCTCACAAACCAAACAAGCCCTTAATCCTCTTTCGTGTTTCTTTTAATTTTTTTTTTTTTTTTTTTTTAATGCAGCTTGAGTCTGTTGAACTCTGCGGTTTCACTTACATGCAACCATGTGTTCTGCAAGTAAGTCATATAACCCTTTAATTCATTTCACATTTTTATCATTTATTTTTGTTTTAAACTTCATTGTTATCGAAATTTTCTGGTTCTTTACAGTGCCTGTATCATGAAATCAATGAAATCCGGTTCCAATTGTCCAGTTTGTAAAGTACCCTACCGGCGTCGAGGTGTTCTTCATTCTTGATTCAATCCTTTTAGATTATGTCCATCTTAAATTGTTAACTTCTTGTTGGTCAGTAAGTTTAAATGTTTAATACTACTACCTGTTTGAATGACACTTGAGGCCACCAATGTTACTCTGTTTGGTTGTTCATATATATGTTCTTCGCTTCAATTGGTATAGCATTTTACAAGTATGAGTATTTACCTTTGCCTTAATTTGTTGAAACAAGAAGCAAATAGCAGTAACTTATAATCATGCTTCAGTTGCTTGGCTGTTCACACTTTTCAACTCACTTTCTTTATATTTTTGCTGTAGAGGTTCGTCCTGCGCCTCACATGGATAACTTGGTTAGCATTTATAAAAGCATGGAGATTGCTTCAGGTTTCAATATTTTTGTCACTCAGAACCCACCTCTGGATAAATCAACAGGTAATATACACAGACAATGATTTTTGGCAGGATATGATATGATTATTCTTCTTTTCTTGGTAAGCCAGAAGAACGGACAGGAATATATTTTGAGTCTTATATGTAGTTTGAAAATTTCCAATTACAGATGATGAGAAGCGAGTTGAAAATGATCTCAATTGTAGTGAAAGAGTGGATAATCAGGGAGCAACCAAAAGAAAAGGATCTAGGGTGGCTAAATCAACAGAAAACTCTGGTCCCATACCTGTGAAGCCTTCTTTTCTCACCAACAAAAGGGTTCAGGTGCCACAGTATCCTCTGTCAGAAACACCTATGATGTCTGCAAAACTTGGCAGTGGGTTGGTTGAACGCACGGAGGATGAATCTAAAAGAACTTCAGATATTCCAAAGGAGAATTACAGTCCAAGGGAAAAGGGAGAACCAATATTTACACCCTTTTTCTGGTTGAGAGAGGAAGATGCAGAGAAGCCAAGTCAGCTTACTGATGGGGATCAATTTGTGTATATAACACCACCTGAAGTTCCTTCTTTCAGTGATATGAAGGATTCTGATGATGAAGGCTTTTCTAAAGTAAGTGTTCACTAGCTTACGCCAGCCAATTACATTTCTTAAAATTATCTATAGAAATGTCTAAATGATTTTGTGTTCAATAATAACTTGTGTATCTTACTTTTTTTGTTCATAAACTAGGTTTTGTTTATGCCAGATTTATATTTTACTTAGCTGCCACAGTTCTCCAACTTTTTATTGACCTACTGTTGAATTGAGCAAGTCCTATGTAACCTGAAGATGTTCAGACAACTTAACTTTGTAGCAGTTATGATCTTGTAATGGCCTAATTTTTTTTTCTCATGTCTTCCTGAAATCATGTAGGAGGAGGTGCATGGAAACACTGATAATGTGAATCTGTTTGATAGCGAGATGTTTGAATGGACACAGAGAGCTTGTTCCCCAGAACTTCTGTCAAGTCCTGTTAAAATGCAGGTAATAATCTCATTTTAAATACCCCACGTAAAATGCTATTTTGCATTCTTTTTTCTTTTTCCTGGGCAAATTTTCATCACGTTTTGGCCATTCTAATCTACTATTATTTCAAACAAAATGCAGCTTGAAGACACTGACGAACCAGCATTACAGGGTTCAAATACAGTCAAACCCTGTATTAATAATGGCATATGCATGACAACTAGACTTAACACTTCAGAAGAGATACTGCCTAATGTAACATCTTTCAGAACCAAGGCTGCTAACAACAAGACCAGGACCCATAAATCCAGGGAAATGGGCAGGAAATATAGAAATACTGCCCAAAAGAAGATTGCTGACAGAACTAGAAGTCATGTTTCCAGAGGTCATGCTGATCCAGAAAAGGGATCTGAAAGTTTTAATCAAAACCAAGCAGCTGATCATAGCAGCAGTTCTTCATATTTGGCTAAGGCTAGGAAAAATAGTAAGGTGGCTGTTTTGGATCACCATGAAGCTGAACCAATAGTAACATATGTTTCTGATGCCTCTGAAAATGCAGAAACTTCAAATCAGGCTGACACAAATAAGGTTAACAAGTTGCCTGCCAGAGTCAGTAAGGAAAACAGTGGTGATGAATATGAGAATTTGAGTAAAGGAAAAAGTTGCAGGTGGATCATTGCCCAGTGCCAAAAAAAATCTTGTTCAAAGTCAAAGAAACAAAAACTAAGTATGGCTATGGTTGATATTCCTGAAGAAATTTCAACCGCTCACAATCAGACAAATGAAAAGATGATTCTACCGAAGTCCTCGCTTCATTCCCGTACCTTATGACAAGGGTGCCAAACAGTTCAATAAAGTATCAATCAAACGTGCTAGGGAAGTAAAGTCTGCTTTGAGTTTGAAAAGTGAAAAAAACTTAAGTGGTAAGAAAAAGATGAAAGTTTCTTTTAGTGGTGACACAAAAACTTGGTTGGCTGAAGAACCCCAGCAGGGAAATAGTAATTTTTCCCCACAGAGATTAAGTGAAAAGGTTCAAGGTAGTCCCACCGTTGGAATTTCAGATGGTTCAACAGTAAATAAGCTTCGCCTAGCAAATGAAGTGGCCTTGCGCAAATTTCAGACTGTTACAAATAAAATACAATGCGCTTTCTGTCTTTCTACAGAAGATTCTGAGGTTAGACTTTTAGTACTTCCTCCCAACTACGATATGACTATAACAGCCTATCTCTTCTATCAATTTGCCCAAGCTTACTTGCTAAACAAAATTGCAGGCTTCAGGAGAGATGTTTCATTACTATGATGGCAGGTCTGTTCCTCTAGATCATAATGGTGGCTTTAAGGTCATACATTCACACAAGAACTGCGCTGAATGGTAAAGGGATTTGTACTCAATAAATTGTCTTCAATTTTGACATTGTTGATGTAATATAACTTTAAACTTTTTGCAGGGCCCCTAATGTTTATTTTGAGAATGATAAGGCAATCAACCTTGAAGCTGAATTATGCAGAAGCCGAAAAATAAAATGTTCCTGTTGTGGACTAAAAGGTGCAGCGTTGGGCTGTTATGAAAAGAGTTGCCGCAAGAGTTTTCATGTTCCTTGTGCAAAATTAGTCTCACAATGCCGGTGGGATACTGTAAGTATTATGCAGATTCAGCAGGTTTCTGTACGTGATATGAAAATTTCTTTCTTTTTTTTTAAAGTCAACACAGTATGTTTCTTGTTAATGTTTATTTATTTTGAATCTTTGCAATAGGAGAACTTTGTAATGTTATGCCCTCTCCATGCCTCTTCTAAGTTGCCTAATGAAAATCCAGAATCTCAAGAAAGCAGAAAAAGATGTGTTTTGAGAGGGTACGCAGAACTATTTTTTAGTTTATTCTAGTATTCTTCATGAACTTACTCCACCCCTTCATGCTCATGAAAGTTTCATTAAATCCTTGCTTTTTACTCTTATTTCATTTCCAGATCAATTCACCACAACGAAGTTCCTATAAACAATGGCATCAGTGTGCAGAAGAAATGGAATCCTTGTGGATCACACAAAAAATTGGTACTCTGTTGCTCAGCTCTCTCAGTTGGAGAGAGGGTAAGTTACTGTTGAATTTGGCTTTCTGTTTTTTCTTTTAGAAAAAGAAATTCCTTAACGTTTTTCTAAATTGCTTGAATTGCAGGAAATCATTTCTGAATTTGAGAAATTATCTGGCGTTACAGTGTTGAAGAGATGGGACTCAAGTGTCACCCATATCATTGCATCCATAGATGAAAATGGAGCATGCAAAAGAACCCTTAAAATTTTAATGGGTATCTTGGAGGGGAAGTGGATGCTGAATGTTAATTGTCAGTACTTTTTTACGGCATAAAGTGAATATAATTGCTTGAGTTTTAGAGTTTATGATATTTATGAGCCTAAGTGCCTATTCTGTGATATATGAGCTATTGTTTGAATAAATGCATGTGCCTATAGTAACTGCAGCTTGAATTTTGAATTTCTATTTGTGCAGGGGTCAAAGATTGCATTAAAGCCATGAAACCTGTTGATGAGTTGCGATACGAAATTACTATTGATGTTCATGGAATCAGGGATGGTCCACGACATGGAAGGCTAAGACTCCAGAACAAGGTCGGTTCCTCTTGGTCTTATCCTTGCAAATATTATAATTTTGAAACCCTGGAAAGTAGCTGTTAGGATCCTCATGATCTGTTCGAAAATATTTTAAGTCTTCATGGGCCATGCTTTTTACGACTCTTTCATTGCTGGGAAACTTTTCAGTGTAGTCTACCAAAAACCAAAATTTTATGTAATGATTTGACTCTTATTTTGTTTCTGAAAGATAAGACATAGGGCATGCTTCTTGAAAGAATCCTGAAAAGGATGCTTACATGTGTATGTTCACACTGAACTTACCTGCTTATTTGATATTTTTTTCTGATGATTTTTATTGACAACAATATTCTTTCCAGCAACCAAAGCTTTTTGATGGGTCCAAGTTCTATATGATGGGAGATTTTGAACCTTCTTATAGGGGATACCTACAAGATCTTGTAATTACTGCAGGAGGTGCCATTCTGCATAGAAAACCCATTTCAGGTGATCAAGGAGCCCCATTCTCTACTTACCCTGTATCTTCAACCTTCATAATTTACAGCGTTGAGTTGCCTGATAAGTGTGATCCTACCAAGAAGCATATGATTATAAGCCGCCGGCAATTTGACGCAGAAGCATTGGCAAGTTCAACTGGTTCCAAAGCAGTAAGCAATTCATGGGTTTTGAACTCCATTTCTGCATGCAAATTGCAAAGTCTTGGTGAATAATTATATAGATTATTATAGAACCTTTAAATGTCTAAAGGTCAGAGTTTAATGGAGAAAGCTTAAAGATTATGATGAATTTGTTTTGAAAATATTTAATGTATGATCAATGATTGATCGAATCAATTGGTGTGACAAAAATCTGTTATACATAAGAGATTCCGATTATTTCTAAAAGACCTTACAGAAAGCAGCATGGAGTATATGTTTGGATTATGCAACTATTCAGATTGTGGAATCAAGCTCGAAAAAGAAAACCGAACTAAGTCAATGTGATAATTCCAAAAAGGGGTAGATCTTGAACTTGCGCACATCAGACAAACCTCTCTTATGGTGGAGTAGAAGATATACCTGAACTAACATTGATCTCAGTCTTTGGTGCTTTTCTTTTGCATGTGCTTTGAAATCTTCATGTTTAAACTCTGGAACATACACTCCAATGCTGAAATTTCCTCTTCAATATCTGATTTCTGCGCTTCTGTTGTGGCCAACTGCTGCTTAAGTCCACGTATTCGTCCAAGTCCTGCTGCTACTTCAACCCCCATTTCCTCCATTGTTGTTTGAATTCCTATATTTTCCTCTTTTGCATCTATATATTTTCTCTTCAAGGATCTATACCCATCAAGGGACTTCAAAAGTTGATCCGTAAGTGCCTTGTTTCGCTCTTGAAGGGTAGCATTGAGCCCCCCTTGATGAGTCTCTCCGCCAGACTTATTATCTGATTGGTGCTCTTGAGCACAAGCTTGTACTTTAGCCAACAATGTCTCGTTTTGTGCTTTAAGGTCATTGATGAGTTCCTCCATTCCATTCAATTCTTGAACCTTTCTAGAAAGTTCTGAGGCCATAATTTTCTTCTCCTTTCCCAAGCTACAACACATTGCTTCAAGGCTCTTCCTAGCTACGCTGCTTGCATGCAAGTCTCTCCTCAACTTCTCTTTCTCATCAATCACAACATCAGCAGATCTTTTGTCCCTTGGGGCACGGAGTGGCCTGAGATCTGTGTTGCACCTCCTAAACTCCTTTATAATTTTGCCAACGGGTGGAGAGTGTTTTTGGATCCGGGTTTTAACATCGTCCAGGATAGAAATCATGCCGGCCACCCTTTGCTTCCTTCGATCATCAAGGTCTCCATCGCTGGCCTGGCTTTGTTCGTGTATTAATTTCAGAAGTAGCTTTACATTTGCAGCAATTCCTAATCAAACAAGAAAACCCACCATATTCATGCATATATATCTAATTCAATGGAGCATCAGAAGGACATATCAATCAATCAATCGTCAAAGATACATACCTTGGAAAGGAATGTCTTGATCAGTTGGCATTTGACGGCTATGGGAAGGACTTTCTACTTCAGGAGATGAAAATGCTCTACCGCCACGGCTGATCATCTCGAAATTGGAAGACAAAAACTGGGTTTAGGATGGATCTTTTATGAGATTTATTACTGGTATTAAATCGAAGAAAGGGGTCAGGTGGCTTAATATTAATTATGAGTATTGTTTGTAAAGTTGAGGGAAAAAGAGAGAGCACTGCTTTGGCACTCTCTCCTTTTCTTCTTCTCCCACCCTTGTTATTTTCCCTTGCTTATTGATGATCTCTCTCTCCCAGTCTGTAAAATTTTATTGTATGAATTTCTTTGGTAGTTGTGAAATCTGCGTAATTAGTGCTCATGTTTTGACCTTTTCATTTCATTGCCTCTCGGGTTTGCTTTGACTTGCACATTTCCAAAAGGGACGTTGCTTACCTGCCTTTTAAATATTCCTTTTTTTTTTTTTCTTTCTTAATGATATAATAAAGTATTCCGTCATAAATTTTCTCACTTGTTCCATAAATTACAAAAAATTATTATCAGGGTATAAAAATGAATTTTTTAGATTTATACTAGATGATTTATAAAAGACTTGGATTTGATTTAGCCTAGGAAGCGGTATAAAGGAAAAGCATGGAGGAGGCAGGGTCAGCTTATGAATTATGATCCACATGCTTTGGTGCATGGGAAGGGTGCTGCTCATTAATTAATTGTCCCCCCTTTCTTCTCTCTGTTTAAATCTTCCTATACACTTTTTTTTATTTTATTTGGGGATAAAAACTAAGTTTTTATACTAAATCTTTCCAATCAATAAGCTGAAAAGCTACCTTAAAAGGTTTTATCTTGATAAGCTTTTAGAGTCTGCCATCAAGACTTACCAACTCAATTACAATCTGAAGGTCACTGGAAGGTTAGATGCCGAAACCATATTGGCCATGAATGAGCCATGATGTGGGGTGCCAGATGCCATCAATGTTCAAAGTCGAATGAAGTCAGGCCGAAAACAAAACCACCCCAGAGGTCAAGCTCTTTCCATGCAGTAACTCGTTGTGCAATCATTGATGGCGAACCAAAATGGCCACCTTCCAGGACCCAACTCACCTATGCTTTCCCTCCTGGAACTCGAACAGATGCCCTGGGCCCGTTGCAAAGGCTTTCTCGACGTGGGCCTAAGTAACAAATTTCAAGTTTAGCGAGGTACAAGACTATGACAATATAGGCTGGAGTTAAGATTTTGGACTTTAAGGCTTAAGCCCTTAGGCCTTAATCCTAATGGTAGCGTGAAGGAAAAGCCGTGGGAAAAGCCGTGGGCTTCAATGGTTGACAGTACCTGAACGACATAAATGAGATCCGTGCCATTCACTGTCAACTGCTAGGAACGCTGCCCCATGCAAAAGCTAACAGACAAAAGACAGAACATATCAGCCTATTACAGATACTGTAAGGTGAATTTGTGGCCCCCCTCTGCCTCTGGCCCTCTCTCTCTCTTCTTCTTCCAAGATTCACCCTCTTTTCTTTGTTCCCTCCTTGTTTCTTTACTTGATCTCTGTTTGATGCTACCGCATTATATATAAGTTTCCATTATTCATTGATTATTTTCTCTTTTCTGTCTCGTATCTCAATTTCTCACGAGAAGTTTCTTGTCCAAGTCTTCAAGGCAGCGGACCAGAGCACCCTTTTTTAGGTTAAAGTCAAATTTAGAATAATGTTGAATATATACGTTTTGAACTTTGGACTACCATGTCGTAGGTATACCGTATGCAATACACCTTAATATTGAACTTTCTTTCTTCACAAATGAAATTAATTATTAAGAAACAAATAAAGCATGTGATTGCCGGAGGAATAAATAGATAAATATTAGATTCCTAAACCAATTGCAAAGGTAGGAATCCGACAACATATATAGTAGCATATTGCTAATACAAAACAGTAAGCTCCAAATATTTGTGGATATCTCGGTCTGATTATGCTCTAATTATTCTAACTTTACATTTCCAAGCATATCCATCCATTTCAACAAAATCAGGGCAAAGATCATTCAAGCTTCAATTGCAAGTACAAATAAACCTTGCATCAGCTTCCCTTGTACAAAAGCAGCAAAACCCCGACAATTTTCCACCATAAAAAGCTTGATTTATACTTGGATAAAGGAGGTGCCGCTGAGTCAACAGATCTGCAAAACATAAAAAGGAAACATATTTACATATATATATATATATATATATATCCGACATCGTGAACCCTGTAAACTATGAAAGAGAATGAAAAATGGATACAATGAACATACATACCCTGGTGCAGCATACAGGCACTTTCCATAACCTGTATATAAGATCAGCAGAATTTAATTATTAGCATCAGTAATCTTCCAAGTCACCAGAAGTTATGATCAGGCTAAATAATCAGGGAAATATATATACATTGTAATTTGTATGTTGAACACTTCCTAAAACAATAACACAAACCGCAAATAACTTCCTGTTCATTGTGAAGATGCTATATTCCATACAAAATTATTGTAAAGAAATTGCTTACTGGGGTTATTTTTTGTTAAGGTAGCAGTTCCTCCGAAATTGCAAGCAATCTCAGAATTGCCATTTAGTTGGTAATAATTATTGAAGGCATAGGAGGCATGAGAAACGAGTGTTTCAGGTTCATAACATTGTCCTCCTTCTTGGATTGCACCGCAATCTGCCTTTCCCAGCCCACACGCCCAGTCTAATGCATTCTGCAAATCAATCTGGGAGACCCCAGCCAGGGCCACACACCATGTTGTACCATCAAGGAAAGTTGTGTTTCCTTCTGGAGGTGAAATTGTTGTGACTGGAATCGCTGCATCTGCCTTCTCTTGCACTGACGTTTCCATTGTTGGGACTACCATTGTAAAAAGATAATTGTGATACACACGTAGCAGATTAGTAGTATATGGAAAGATCTTTTTCACAGTTTTTTTCTGAACCTCAAAAATTTTGCAAAGCATGGATTAATGTTGTTAACAAGATGGCACAAATTTCGGTGCTAATTCCACTCTTCAAACACTATCAACTGCTAAAGTCGACCCAAACTCAAGCACAGCGCATGCATTAAGCAAATTTGCACTATTTTCTAATCTAGGCAGTGCTTCACCTCAATTGATAAGCCTACATTTGGCTGAAGCATGACCTAAACTAGCCACATCTTTCAAGTTCAAATACCCACACCCAACATGAACTTATACCAAGTTACAACTTAGTTACAAGTCATACTCTTTTTTTCTAAATTCCCATCTTTACTAAAATGAGACCAATAGCAATTGGTACCAGAACACAACTTTGTTCAAGCTTACATGATAGAAGTTTCGTGATTTTACTAAAGACGTTAGCCCCAAACAGGCTTTTGCATTCTTCCTAGAAGAAAAGGACAACTGCATACTATACAACTATACCCCCTAAACCGACGAATAGAAAGGGTCGACAACACCTTGCTCCATAATTATGTTTGAGATCAAATTAATGGGCACGAGCGACAAAGAGCATATTAGAGGGTTGAGGTCCCCACATAATCAGCTGATCTTCCACTGGGGAAAGCAACGTGTAAATCAGCGACAAATGCTTTTTCCCCACCAATATTGTCTAATATTATTATATATATAAGTGAAAGAAAAGAACCATAAATATGAATTAGAATTAATCAGTCTAAGCAGGTGTCAACTACAAAACAGCAAGAAGACAGAAATGCCATCATTATATTTATTAAATGAGGTTAAGTTTGTAAATTCACCAATGTAGACCGTTCCTGTCACTTTCATTTTTGAGAGATCATATCCAGCGAAAATTTTTTCTACAGCTTTTAGAGAATATTATAGGAACAGACATGATGTTTTAAAACCCATCACTTCGCTAATCTACACAATTAAAAATTAAAAAAAAAAGTTTTTTAGTTAGATTTTAGTTAGAAAATTAAGCATGAAGACAAGGAATTGCTTTATAGCAAAACAAGCATGATCACCCAATTATTTAAGTAAAGAGGATTAAAAAATTACAGGATATTTCCGCTAATTAAAAAAAAGGAAAATATTATAAAATACGTTATTTTTAGGAAGAAAGAGAAAGAGCACTGTGCCACTACTGTCTCGAGCTGTAAGCTGCAACCTCCAGTTTCAGAACAAGAAGATCTCAGGAAAGAAACCAAGAAGCCAAGAACACTATACCAGCCAATGAGCCAAGAACCATGAAATGGATAAAAGAAAAGATAAACAGGAACAAAACAAGAAACAAGAGAAGTCAAGAAAGAGCAAGGTGGTAAGAACTAAGTTGCAGCATTAAAAGAAACATACCTAGATGGGAGAACACCATTAATAAGAGGGAGCACTTGACAACCAAAGCTACCTTTCTCATGGTGTAGGTGTTCTTCAGCTAGCCTCCTCTAAAACCTCTTTCACTCGATCACACCACTAATGTGCAATATGAAAGGCCAAGTGTGAGAAGGTGCTTACGTAGTTAACACTTAAAAATCTTTCTTAAGCTCCCACACATTGATTCCAAGAGTGTGTTATAAATGCAGAGGAGACGAGAGTTTGAGAGGAATCAGAAGTTTCTTGAAAGGAAATTATCTTCTTTTTCTCTTTATTCAAGGAGAAAAAGAGTGATGTATCGAAGAAACGTATCTGTATAGTACTGAAGCCAACTACTCCACTTTTGACAGACTATGATAGCGGTGGTTTTATTTTATTTATTGCACTTTCTTCTGCACTTTGTATATAAAATATTGGGTCTGATCTTTGGGTCTGAACTTTGAAACCAATAACCAAGTTGCACCTTATCAGCCCAATGATTTGCGCAGATGCTCAAGAAAAAACATTCTCAAGGCAGTCGAGGCTCAGCCAGAGTTCCAGCTTATCATGGCAAAGTTGGGCTCGTTTCATTTCCTAGACTGGCTCAGCCTATCTCGTTCTGAATCAATTGCTGATGACAAGTGGGGGTGAGAAAAAAATCAAAAATTTTAAAAATTGATTCGATGCGTTTAGTTCATTTTGAATTGATTTTTTTTATTCAGTTTAAATTAATTTTAGAAATTAAATATATATTAAATTAAAATCGAATTTCAGATCAAAAATAAAAATTTTAAAAAAATAGAATCGAATCAAATTATATATATTTTTCAGTTTATATATATTTTAAAATTTTATAAAATAAAAATAATAATGTTATATCAAAATTTATTTAAGTATATTAAAAATTATAATAAAATAATATATAAAATTTTAAAAAATTAAAAATTAAAAATCAATAAACCGAACCGAACTGATAAAATTTGATTTGATTCGATTTGGATCAAATAAAAGTTCAGTTTAAATTCTAATCAGATTTTAAGTTTTCATAATATTATGCAATATTTGAAAAAATCAAATCAAATTTAATCCGAATTAAATCATTATTACCCTTAATGATAAAAAATAAATATATCCGAAAATAATACTAGGAAAAATTTCAAATCGATCAATTTGTTGAAATTTTTATTGCTTTTCATTCTGGTCCATATAACAAAAAAAAAAAAAAACATAATTAGTTTAGACAACAACATAACATTTAATTCTTTTTTTTTACATGTTTTACGGTCTTAATTCTTGATGTTCCTTAAAAATGTTACGAATTTTGTGACCTCCGAAATAGATGCCATATTTTGTGCGAATTGTTTTTCTCGTCGAATATGCTTTTAGTTTTAAATGTACTTTGGATTAATACACAAACATATGGTAATGCGACCGCAACATACATAGTTGGATAATGCTACCAAAATATCATGAGAGTAATAAAGACATTGTTCCAAAGATGAGACTGAGGTTACCATCAAGGCGTGAGAAGCGCCCGACCACCAACTTTCGGTTGCCCTCTCTTTGCTTCCAGTTGGTTTAACTTAATAAGGCTGACCTTCTTTAAGCCCATGTGCCCTTAAATTTTCTGTCCATTCTTGTTCTCTCATTGTATCCCCATTGCTTTCAACCCAATCATACTCATATTTATGCTAATCACCTTCATCAATATCCTTAATTAATTATAATTATCATAATTTTCTTTTGTAGTAAAAAATAAGATATATTAGTCCCTAAATTGAATACTTAAAATCAAGATAAATCCGCTTAACCGAGCCCAATTATAAATTGTTGAATGTGAGACAGTATCAGGCAGTTGGATGCATGTGTAAACATAAATTATTGTAACTAAATACTCAAGCAAACATACAAGCAAAGAGAACAGCCAATGGAGACATCAGTAATCAGGCATTTTTCATGCATATTTTTATCATACCAAGAAAGAGAAACTTGGATTCCTCCCACAAGTTTCTTTTCTATTTTGGGTTGTTCTTGATACAGTCCTGACAATAACTATATATTTCAAGTTTCAAAACCTTAGTTTTGTGGTACTAAATTATTATTATTATTATGAACCCTAATCCCATTTAAAAAAATAATAAAAACAACAAAGAACGTTAGTATTATAATATTAAGTTGATGTCATGATTTTGAACTAATGCTGCTTAAATTATTTCATGTCAAAGAGGAGTTTGTTCTGAATGAACATCATTTGTCCGACTGTCGGCCTATCAAAACACCGGGAATATTGGTTAAGTGTTTACTTTCACCTTCAATCCCATATTTATCTCTTCCTTCTTGTTAGTATGATACTTCCTTGAAATGATAATTTTTTTTTATTTTATGATTATTTTTTCTTATTTCCTTAATCCTTTTCATTTCATTGTCATGAAAACGATATTTTTTATATATAAAAAAACCTATAAAATCATTTAGAATTTGTTAATTACTTTATATTATTATTTCACTGTCCGTTTTACACTGTTGTCTTATTCCCTGGAAAATGGATTCCCCTTTACAATTTTATAGAATTTTGGTACAGTAATAAGCAAGATGATAGGGAACAAACATGGTTGAAATTTGAATTTAAATTAGCAAATGAGATCCCCAGTTAGTACAAATACTTCCCCAAAAAAACAAGTAGTACTATTAACAAAATATTTAATGCAGTCAAGTGGCCAGCACATCTCACAACATTTCATGCTAAATCTTCTTTGTAAATCTTAGTGATAGCTTTGAGTTTAAGGTTAATATTTTTAGGTCTTCAATTATTGTTGACAACTTGGTTATTAATCCTATGAACAACAGAGAGATGGCTTGAGAAAATGCCAAACTACATCCTCAAAAGAAAAAAAAAAGAAAAAAAAGGAGAGACTGAGTTAAAATAAGTTTGGCCCCCACAAAATCTGTTAAATGAGATTTTACCAATTCGGAGCTACTGATTTACATGTGATCTAAGATGCTTGATTTCCAAAATCTGTGGTTTTTTGGAGTTTTGGGCCCTTGTCATATTTTTCCTCTCCTTCAGCGTCAAATCAAACCTTAATTATAGATGATTTTGTCTGCCCCACCAGTATTTGGTTAAGATACCCAATATTATAATTATTGGTTTCTCTGTTGTTTATGATCATGAATTGACATGATTGGTGCTTTAGCAAATGATCTGCTCTGCCTCAGGGCTCAAATCTATATTAATAGCACATTCTTTTGGTTTTTCAACCTGAAAACCAGATTGCCATGCTTGCCAACTGAGTATTTTGGCCCATTATTCACAGCTTTTCCCCATATAGGCTACATTAAACTTGGATCACTGCTTGCCATGCCATGCAATTATGAGACTTTTATATCCAATTTGCACTTTCATCTTATATAGAGAATTAAACAAAATGTAATTGGTAAGTTTAGTTTATGGGATAAATCAAGTTCTTTTGCCATATTGAAACCAGAAGCAGACTCCCCTGAACAAGAGTGTTTAGCAATTCAAGTTTTGGAGAAATGTTACCAGATGGTGCTCTCATGAACAGGCACAACAGCTCCACTTGGTGCACTTTATGCTGGCCTTTTGCAAGGCACCCTATTCTCAATTCCCTTCTAAAACTTGTTCAAGGGCCCGTTTTTGCATCAATTTCAAAAATTTTCCATCCACCACTCCAATGGTTATGAAAATGAGTACAGGAATATGAAAAATAAATCAGAAATCATGTTAGGCTTTTAGGGACTTGTTCCTTTCATTGGGACCCGGGAGTCCCATCAATGGGTTGGGACCCCCTCTCAGCCCCAAACTGTTACAACCACAGCCTTTGCTCCCAATCTTGCTTACATGTCATGCGTCCACTGTTTTGTTTTGCAATGCTATCATGCTTCTTATCGGTGACATTGCTTTCTTACATTAATTACAAAGATATTCAAACATTAGTTTTTCTTGCAATTTACTTTGTACCCTGTCAGACGCCAGTTGTTGCCAAGCTGCAGGTTTGCTTTCAGTTTCAGGCAAATATTTTGTTTCAAGAAAAAAGAGAAAAAAAAGTTGTCCATACGAGTAAAAATATGAGTTATAATTCTATTGATTCGATTAATTTTAAATTAAATTAAAGTAATTAAATTAAATTATTTTAATTTTATTAATTAAATTAAATTATTTTAATTTTATTAATTAATTTAGTTGATTTAATTAATTTTTTATTAATCAAAAAATAAAATATATTATATTAAATTATTTAAATTTTTAATTTCTAATATGTAAAATAAATAAAATAAAATCATTCAACAATAATATTCAAACACTAAAATGTTAAATTAAAAATTCTAATAACTTGAAATAAATTACATAAATTTATATATTTTTAGTTTTACATATATATTTTATTATATTTCTGTTAAAATTTTCATAAATTTGATTAATTCGATTTTTGAATTGAATTAATCGAAAATCAAAATTTTTTAAAATTAATTTTTATTAACTGATTAAAATTAATTTAATAGTTAATCAATTAACAAAATTAATTAATTTGATTAATTAATTTAGTTAAAATCAAATTATGATCACTTCTACATGAAATGTCGAGAAAAATGCATATATATGATAAAGTGTGACATGCATAAACATAATTGAACTGTACTTGAGTAAAAACCAGTAGTAGTTGTCCGAATTGCAGTTAAGATTGGGGTTCTTCCGGTTCGCAATAAAGTAGCAAAAACACTTTGGGCCTACTATACTTTGAATTCAATTGGATCATAATTCATAAATAATTCATTTATACATGCAAATGTTCATTTCAGTTTCTGTCCTCAACAAGGTACGGCCCTAACTTCTGCTCTCAATATCAGCTACGTTTCTATGACATCTTCCATGCATTGCCCTACCCGAACCTTTTTTTTTTTCATTTGCTGAATCATTGTCCAACCCTTTACATAAAGACTTTAATGCCTGCTTCAATAATGTTACTAGAAATTTAATTCACCAAAAAAAAAAACACTATATATAGTGTTAGGTTTGCAAGAGACATTCAAGTTCCATAGTTTCGTAGTTTCACCTACTCATAATTATTTCCAGCCAAAGTCAGAGCTACATTGCTAGTTCCACTGTAAATATTTGAAACTATATTGAATGGATTATTCACAACGGGAATAAAAAGTTTGAATGAATCTATTCAAGATTAAAAATGCTACATCAAGTACACAAACATGGATCATCACAATGAAAAGCATGGGTTTTCTTTTTTTTTTTCACTTTATCCCGTAAATAGGAAAAGATTTGTCATAAATAATCACATAGTACTGCTTTTGAAGTACGTTTTAGGGTCTTTAACTTTGATATTAAAGATCATTGCAACTTATGATAAAAAGAAATCATTGCAACAACAAAAAAAAAAAAAGGATTTATGTTACTTTAAGTACCCCTAAATTATGGAAATGAGAAAGATATGGTTGCCGAGGAGAACAGTAATAATATTTTTATTTTATACCAAATTACAAATACCAATATTAATTAACTATTACACTATAATATATGATCGAGGTAACTAAAAATAAAAAATAAAAAAATAATCGTACAGATATTTTGATAAATATAATAATTCGTATATTTATATCATATTTTACATAAAATTATATATAAAATTTATATTAATATAAAAATATAAAATATTTTTTTTTAATTTTAATAAATTATATATAATAATAATTATTATTATAAATTTAATTCGTATTAATTTTATATTATATTCGCATTACACGAATATATATTTTTTAAATTGTAAAGATTTTACAATTTAAATCAGATTCTTAATCATCTGAAGTTTGCTCACAGCAAATCTGTCATAAAATATGGGGAAGAAGGTTTTAACTTAAGTAAACAATGAAGGATGATTATGTTAAAAGTTAAAACCACACTCGAGGTTGGCAAGTACGATATAATGAGTGATGAATGAATTATTTGATTGGGGGCAGTTTGGGCAATGCAAGGAAAGCTTCAGGGAAACTGCTAAAAGGCCCAAAACAGTGAAACCACACGCGGTTTAAAATTCCAAAGCAAAGTGATGACAGAAGAACGATGTAAGTAGTAGTAGAAGTGGTTAAACGCAACCTCTGCCACGTGACTAAAGCCAACCGCACCGGCCAGAAAACCAACGTCATCAAAAGCCGAAACCTACCGCTGTAACGTTCCCTGTATATTATTATATTAATAGGTCAATATAGCCTCATAGGCAAACGGCAAAATCTCCTTTTTCACCCTCACGTGTAACACTCAACACCCCCTCCTTTTTTTTCTTTTTTAACCAAATTCTATGGTTAAAAGTTAAAACCCCAGATATTAACCGCGATTTACCGCTTCGCTAATCACCTCCGTACATTCACCAGCATAAATAAATCCCAACTACCGCTCCTCTCTTATTTACATTTTCTGGTCCCTCTCTTTCTCATCTCTCTCAACGCTAACTAAACTAGTACAGCAAACCAAAGAAAGGCCAAAAGCCTGTTTCATTTTGCTTATATCTGTCTGAGAAATTTAGCTCTGGGTACGGACTGGTATTGCTCAGAAACCCTAATAATCAGGTTCCAGGCCCTCATAAAAGCCTGCTCTGATTCAAAATGGGCATTCAAAGCATTTCCCTTTAATGCCCCTCCCTGCTTCATTTGATGCAATCCTCATTTCTTCTCTGTTTTTTTCTCTTTTTTTTTTGCAGTTTCCCTTTTTTGCTTGCACACAAATCTTGACTGCCTCTCTCGCTTCAAAGTTCAAGCTCACTGTTTCTTTTTTACTCATTGACTCTTTTCTTCGGCTCCGCTATGGGTATCTGATTCCATTGTCTATATCCTTATCAAATCATCATCTAGAAAAAGTTCATTGCTTTCATCCACTGGTTTAATTCTGTTATCTAATTCCACTCCTTTCAACTTTTTTTTTTTGACTTCATCTTCTTCAAAGATTTTTATTTTGATTTTTCCTCTCTTACTGGTAGAGAGAAACAGGTGAGCAAATCAGGTTGAAAAACATAAAATGTTTCAGAACAAACGTAAGTCAGAAAGTGAGTTAAGTTCAGAAACAGGGAATTCTTCAAGTCAAAGTTCAATGAGTAGTGAAAGCTGTGGCAGCTTTAGTCGTCTTTCTTTTGAGCTCCTCCCAACATCGCGGTCTTCCCCAGAGAACCTTTCTCTCAAACCCCACCGATCTTCCGACGTCGCTTACTGCGCTATCCGCTCTGCCACGTTCGCCCGCAAAACAAGCCTCACATTCCGTGATTTCCGGCTCCTCCGCGTCATCGGCTGCGGCGACATCGGAACTGTCTACCTTTGCCAGCTTGCCAACGTAGATGGAAATTGTTGTTATGCGATGAAGGTTGTGAATAAGGAAACGTTGGCGATGAAGAATAAAGTGCAACGTGCTGAAATGGAGAAGAAGATCTTGAAGATGCTGGATCATCCATTTTTGCCTACTTTGTACGCTGAGTTTGAAGCTTCTCATTTCTCATGCATAGTTATGGAGTACTGTTCAGGCGGTGACTTGCATTCTATTAGACATAAACAACCTCAAAAACGCTTTTCTTTGAACTCTGCAAGGTAGTTGATTTTTGTTTTCATTTTTTTTTTAACTTCCATAGCAGACAGGTTTTCCAAGTTGTACATTCATATTACATTGATTTTACACTGATCATTCTTGCATGCTTTAGTTTGGGTGTTTTGTTTTCTAGTGTTGTGTTTCAAACACATCGCCTGTCTTGTTCTTATCATTGTCTGTTTCAATAATCAACCTCATCTCTCTCTTCCTTCTTTCTCTATTTGTTATTATTTTTTGGTTGCTCTAAATTTTAGAGATTATTTTTCATTTATAGTAATAGGTCTCATTAATGGTGGACTTAAGATTTAGTAGTGTTGGAATCACCTTCTGTTTCCCTTATTCTTCCTCGACAGCTGAGATTTTTCACTCAATTACTTCTGACTTTAGCCGCAAATTTCCCTTATTTGATAGCTTTTCCATTATTAGAATTACGGAATCATCTTATTCTGGTTATTTTCTGGATCCAATTCCTTGCCATGCAAGCGACCTTAAGATTGATGCTGTTCTCCAATTCTTTTACCCCTGATTGGTTGCTGGGAAGTTTCAAACGTTAAAACTTTTTCTCCAATGTTTAACTTAAAAAAATTAAACTAAATAATCTGTTATATCTTCCAGGTTTTATGCAGCTGAGGTTCTGGTTGCTCTAGAGTACCTTCACATGCTGGGTATTATTTACAGAGACCTAAAACCGGAAAATGTTTTAGTAAGATCGGACGGTCACATCATGCTGTCTGATTTCGACCTTTCACTTTGCTGTGACGCGATCCCAGCCGTTGAATCACCATTGTCTCCGGATCCTACGTCTCCACAAAACCAGTCTTGCACTCGTCCACACCCAACACGTCTCTCCTGCCTCTTCCACAAGCTCTTCCGGTCAAAGAAGATCCAAACGCTGACACCCAGCAAGTTCTTCGTGGCAGAGCCCGTCACCGCCCGGTCACGCTCCTTCGTTGGGACCCACGAGTACGTTTCTCCCGAGGTGGCCTCAGGTGGGTCCCACGGTAATGCCGTTGACTGGTGGTCCTTCGGGATCTTCATCTACGAGATGATCTACGGGCGTACTCCCTTTGCGGCTCCATCGAACGAGCTTACGCTGCGCAACATAGTTAAAAGCCCACTCACTTTCCCAACCCACTCGCCCTCATCTCTTCCTGAGCACCACGCGCGAGACCTTATCTCTAGGTTGTTAAACAAGGACCCATACAGTCGGTTGGGATCCAAACGAGGCGCTGCCGACGTCAAAATGCATCCTTTTTTTAAAGGACTTAATTTCGCGCTTATTAGGTCGCTTACGCCGCCGGAGATTCCGGGGTTAAGGCGGCAATCGACGACGTCGTATTACCATACAAAGAGCGAGGAACAATCAACCGCGTTTGATTGCTTCTGAGAAGCTAAGCGGAGACATTTGCGCCACGTGTTCAGTCGGATTTGCCAGATTTTATCACTGGCGAGTGACAGATGTGTATATTCGAGCTCTCTCTTTTTTTTTTTTTAATAATTTTTTCTCTGTTGGATGCTTTTTTTTTTTTTTTTGAACTTTTGTTTAGGTTGACTTCGTATGGCAGATATGCGTCCCTGATTACGTAAATATATTATAAGATATTAACAAAAAAAAAAAAGAGGAAAGGAATGAAATGTGATTTGTGTTGATCAGCAATTTTTTATTTATACAAAGTCGCATCCTGTAATTTTAATATAATAATAAATATATACAATTTGATATTAAAAAAAAATCTCTCGTGTGTTTAATTACGTGAATAGCATAATTTTTTTACGTTTATAGTTTTCATTTTTAATTAATTATTTTGATTTAATTTAAATTTCAAATATATGATAAAACTATATTTATTTTCGACATGTAGGATGGACTGCTATAAATATTGAATTATTATAGATAAGAGTTTCTATCAGTTCCAAAGTAAATTTGAAGGTAGTTTTTTTAAGTTGTTCATACATTTATTTTTTTCTTATTTGTTTATATGTGCTACATTTATTTATTTATTCAAGCAATCCATTAAAAATTTCACTTGTTTGTTTATTTGTTTAATAATTTTATTTGCGTTTCTTTTCTGTTTTATTTTTTCATTGCTTAACTCCTTACCATTTATGAAAATGAAAAATCAATAAATAATTTAAAATTGACCTAATGATTGTAACCACCTATTAAAAATAATAAAAAAAAAGTTATCCATTTGGCTGTTTCGAAATTACTATTAAGCTTTGCTAAATTTTTCATTATGCTAAAGAAAATACTCCTTTATAATTCACAACATTGAATTGAATTTCGAAGAGAATTTCAATGCTTTTTATGAAAAAAAAAAAAAAAAACTAAAATGTAGAGAAACAATACTATCCCTGTATATATCATAAAAAAAATTTGATTCGATATTTAATTAAATTAATTTAAATGATTATTTTGAAAAAATAATATATAACAAATTAAAAATAAATATCTTAACATCTATTTTTTTTTTATTTTCACTTTACGGATTTTTTTTTTATAAAAACAAAACTTGCTTGTTATAATTACCAAAGCAAATGTGATTTTTTTTTTGTTTTACTGTAGCTAAAGATAAGGTAAGGTCGTCGGAGGTGGGCATGTTTGAACATGTTTTTGCAAAATCAGTCCAACAATGGAACGTGTCCAAAAGTTACGAAAAAATTTGGAATTGCGTAAAGAGAAATTGTCTGCCACAAAACTACAAGACAAAGGTATCCCAGTCGATACAATTTCGACCTTATCTGGAAACTTTACTTCCATGAAAAGTTTAAATAATTTAGAATCATTTTTGAATTTCTACCACACGCCAACCTTTTACCCTTAGGTTGATCTTCTTATCCCAAAATTTACTACCTTTTGAGAGAAAATATTTTAGCTTTTGCACTACTATAATTTGCTGTCATTGGCATTTGCAATGATTTTCCGCATTTTGACCGTTGCTGCCCTCTCATTACGTCATGTGTGACCCAAATTTTTGTTGGCAATGCCATCGGGGTTTCAATAAAATTTTAAATTTTTAATTTTAATAATTAAAAATTAATTTTTATCAACTTTAATTATAAAAATATATATACATAATAAATTATTTTACATTAGATGAAAGCATATTGATATAAAGGATTTTAATAAATAATAATTACACATTTTAAAAGAGGGGACGCAACTCTATTAAATTTGATGCTTGCAGACGTTTTTAATTATAAATAATCTACTACTAAATATTTTTAATTATTTTAAATTTTAAATTAAAATAATAAATTTATTTTAAAATTAAAAGTGTAGTGAAAAAGTTATATCACTTCAAGATTTTGGATCATTCACATAAACAGAGTAAGAAATTTATACTTTATTATTATTATTATCATTATGAAAACTATTAAGAAAATTTTTTTTTTCTTTTTCAAATATTTTATGATGGAAACTTGAAACGAGGGACCTACACAATAAGCGCCGCGTAGACAGCGTGGGATAAGCATGATCTGGCATAAGGAATCCAGTGGGACCAAAACCAATTTCGAACGAGGAAGAGAAACACATCAACGGTACAGATTTCATCCCGAGTTCACCCCTTGTCATGTTTTTTTTTTTTTTAAATTCAGTTCCGATCAGGGTTTCTATAAATCATTGGATAATAATAATTTAGTTGAAACTTTGAAAGCCATAAACCAAAAAGCGTGTAAAGGGGAAATGAGTTTTTGCATATGCCGAGGTTGTAGAAAAGGGATCACAAACATTCTGTTCCCACGCGCTCCTAACACCGTTTATGTCACATCTCCAGCGATTTCTTCTTTTCTTTTGTTGTTATTAACTATAAAATGAAATGATTAAGAATAACATTCCATTTCCGACAAATTTTGATTTAATCTAATTTAATTTTTTACGATCAATTTTTTTTTAATTAAATTTCAAATCGGATTGAATTGAATAATAATTTAAAAAATTGAGGTTAAATTTTAAAAAAGCTTGTATTGATTCGATTATATATATAATTATTTTATTTTTACATTAATAATATTTTATATTTTAAAAATAATATTTTATTAATTTTGAATTAAATTTGATCGAATATAATTTTATATAATATTAAAAATTATAAATAAATTTAATAAAATAAAATTTTTATATTAATACAAATTATAATATAAAATATAATATTTTATGCTACACAATGGTATAAATTACCATATCTATATTTGTTGGCTCTTTGATTAATTTAATTGTGAGGAGGAGATGCTGTTAGTAGTATATAATAATTGGGGGAAGGGAAAGAACTTTGACAACACATGGGGCTGTCCATGTGAACTCCTGCCAACCAGACAGCTCTACCGGCTGGCTTAAAAGCGTTGTCTCCGCTCTCTATAGACCCTACCCCACTCCACGCAACATTATGCCACCCAATAGCTGTCCCCACCCCATCCCTATTCCAATCATATCCCTCCACGTGGCATTTCATTTGGCTTGCCACATGGCCATTTGCCTATTCCTGACCCAGATTTGACCTTCAGTTGGCTGATTCTAAAGGACATGAAAAAAAAAAAAGGAAGAAAAGAAATTGGTAGTTATAATAATTTTCTGATTATTGTCAATTGGTAACGGTGATGTAAACATTGTAACTACGTATAATAATTAATTAACAAACTGAGATTACAAATTAAAAAAAATAATTAATGGGTAAGAAAGATTTGGGGATGACTGTGTTTGATAGTTAGGGCAGATAATATGGATGCGGACCAACTAGTTCTGGCTTTTGACTTTGGTTTTTTTTAACAGACATTTATAATCAAGCTCTTTTCAGCACATGCTTGTCTAACTGTGTTTTAATATTTGGGAAAATTTGTTCTTGTTGGGTTGATAGCAGAGTGGGGGGGGGGTTGGACAGACAAAGGAAGATTGATTCTATAATGAGAAAGTGCCAGCTGAGTTTAAAACTAAATGCCAGCTATCTCATCTTCCTAATTCTAAGGATGTGAAATATTTCAACTTTTTTAACCAATTAAGCTCGAACTCTTCACTTAAGAAAGAACTAGATTTTGAAATTCTATTAAATGTTGTTATATTCTAAATAATTTATATAAATAACACTGACATATAATAAATAGCTATTTTTATTATATGTCATCATCATTTTTATACTCAATAAAATATCGAAGATGATTTTCGTAAAACTTGATCATATAATATGATTTAATTATTTTTTGAATATAATATCATTTTATCAATATTTTAATTATTAAATCAACTGTTGATAATCATTATATTGACTATTATTATAATTAATCGAACACTTAATAAATGTCAAGCAAACCCATTGGTCACATCAACAATAACCTATTAATTATATTTGCGACGAGCAATAATGAAAACACTAACAGGACTCCAATTCGTGATTAAAGAAAGGAAGAGTTCAACCAATTAAGCCAATCTTTTATTGGCTAATCATAACCTATATACCAAAATTAGTAGTAGTAATAGTAAAAGTTGTTGAGCAAAAGGGTTTGAAAATGACACTTAGGGGAAAAAATTTGAATTTGCGCGGATGATTTTTTAGCAAAATGAAAGTAAGTAATCCTTGTGATGTTTACCTACAGAAACCCAAAACAAGAGGTGAGGAGCTATTGAATTAAACGTCCAATATTCCCGAAAGGTCCAAATGCGAAGGAATCAGATGCAAACGTGGCATCATGAAATCAGATATTGGATGTTGAAGTCAAGTCAAATGGGAAGGTGACGCTGAGGGTGTGCGTCAGATTGATGGATTGAGCATCACCACCAAATTTCTTATTTCCTTTTAATCTTTGATATATGGCCCCCCTGCGCCTGATTAATGTGTCAGTTGAAACCGCTGGTCTCCACCCTATTGGCCGCATAGCCTCTGACGAGAACGGCGTCGCACTGCAACTCTGCCCCTTCTCTCTTACCTTGATTATGGAAAACGACATTTTCCTATTCTATAGGAATAGTAGCTTCACACTCCAACATTTAACATGACCTCAAAGAAAGAAAAAGAAAAGAAATGGTGTGGGCCGTGGAGGGAGGGGAAGGGACAGCAAAGAGAAGAAGGGAAACGGAGAAAAGTGGTGTCACGTGAGTTGAGCATGCAACGTAACTTGTGCCTAGTGAGACTATCGATGGATGGGGTCCTAGTCTTACGTGGGCATATGGTCGTGGAATATTGGAACAGTCATAATTCAAATGGACTGACCAAAAACCCTACCCCTTTTATTTTAATGTTCGTTTTAAGTACTCATTTTCTCTCTCTCTCTTCTACTTCAGAAGTAGATGATCAATCTCTCACTGCACGCTGCTGAACCAAACAGAGGGAACCTACGTCTCAATGAAGATTGTGATCCACATCCACCCCTGGGAGATTTTAGTCTTAACTTGTCTGGTTAAGCCCAAGTACACACCTCATAAGAGTTAAGGGCCTGACTAAAAGCCTAAGATGGGCTTCCATCCCGAATCCACAGATGGGCAGCTTTCATACAGTCAAAGCCCAAAAGGCATCTTTCTTTCTCATGCTAAATATGAAACGAGCAAATTACATAAATATCACAACTTTGGCTTGCGATATAGAGGCACTACACCTCATGCTAGATTGACCAAGGACATGGCTCTCATTCCTCCCAGGACGCAGGAAAGTAACTAAACAAGACTTCATAAACTTCAACCACATGATTGCAAAAGTTAATATTAACTGCTATTTACAGATAGAATATGTATACAGCAAACTAAAGGTACAAGAAAGAACCTCAAAAGACAAAAGATAACAGTTATTTTCTGGAGGAATCACCAACTTATGAAACCTCTCAAACTGTTGATAGGAAGGAGACAGATTGATACAAGTAAACTTTCGATGTAAAAGAAGGGAAATATTTGATGATCAGAAGCAACCCGATGAGCCTGCAATAACATTTGCAGCACCATTTTATCTTCATGCTATTTACCTACAAGGCCCAAACATAATCATCATTACAGCAACACAGCACAGTGGCTTTCATTAGGAAAAAAGGCAGGCAATATGAATGCAGCATTTTGTTTAAAAACAACTTTTCACAGGAGAAAAAGTGCACGGTATGACCACCCCTTTAATTAAAAAAGATTTTCTTTTTTTTTCAGAAAAAGTAAAAAAGATAAAAAGTACAAAAAGGTAAGAAACAAAGACACAGAAAATGCATAAATATATTGGGATAAGGCAGTCTGTCTGTACAACCTTGTTTCCTAGTCTGGAGGCGTCTCTACTTCATGGAGAAGCCACTAGCCAAAAACCAAGTATTCGTCATAAAAATCAGAGATGTCACTGGCCCCTGAGAATTCAAAATAATCATCATAGTCATCAGACATTAAGTCAATGTCAGAAATTCCAGATGGATAATCTTCATCTGATGACCCAGTATCATGAACTTCTGTATCAAACTCGTAATCATGAGTTGAATCATAAGGACGCCGCAAATCTTTTATGCATTCAACACATCTTTTCTCCAAGTTCCCTTCCAGACTAACATTGAAACATTGGCGCAAGTCAAGGGATTCAAGATAAGGACAACCATTGAGAATGGCCTGCAGGCCATCATTTGTCAGCCTGTTCCCAAAAAGTTGGAGGTTGTGCAAGTTGGGCATAGTTTGTGCAATAGCTAGTGCATCATCATCAGACTCTACGCGGAAGCGTCTGCATCCCTGAATATTGAATTTGAATGACTTCAGAAGAGGGCAACATCGTCCAACAGTTTCCAGAGCATCTTTTGAAATGGAACAGTGTGAAATTTCAAGCTCTTCTAGAAATGGAAGTTTTGAAGCTGCTTCACTTAATCCCTCATCTGAAATGTTATAGCACAATACAAGTCGAAGACGTTTAAGATGACCAGACCTGAGACAAGCATCATTTGAAGAATAAAAAAAGGGCAGCGTCAGCAGTTTTACACAAATGAATAACCATTTCAGTACAGTAGTACAGTGAAAACAAGTCAAAGACGTTTAAGATGAGCAGACCTGTGACAAGCATCATTTTGAAGAATAAAAAATGGGCAGCGTCAGCAGTTGCACACAAATGAATAACCATTTCAGTACAGTAATATAGCGAAAACAAGTGATGTATGAAGTTATCAATCCAAAGAAACAACCATCTTTATATTGAATGTTCATGCTGAAGCATCATTTTGAAAGTCTATTTGGTTTGGATAATTAAGTAGAAGTAACAAAAGCAAAAGACCAGGCTATGAACAAACACAAACATATATGTAATAAGCCAAAACTATCGGTCGCGTGATGATCATATTCTTCAACCAATACTAATCCAACCATATCCTCCTTCTATTCGCCTAGCACCTTGACAAAGAAAAAGAAATAAAAAAAAAAGACTGGGAAAGTTTCAGGTACGTCACTACTCTTTATTCAATTGTTTTCTTTGATATAAATTTGGGTACTCTTGAAACTCGACATTTCTAAGTGCATCAGCTTAATGAGCTGATTTAAGAGCCTAAATGGGTTTCATTGGAAGCAGAAAAGGCCTTCCAATCAATTGCAATTGAACATTTTAATTAGAAACCATAAGATCAAAAAAATTGCATAACTAAGTCAATCAAAATCCTAAAATGTTAAAAAAAATAAACCCTAAATCCATGAAATATCCACAAATTGATTGTTAATAAACCAAACCTGGCAAACTATAGAATACTGCATTAATATTAAGGAAATCAAAATTGATGATTTGTATAACCTGAAAAACAATTAAAGATTATAAAATTGAAAAAAAAATATTGAAAATTTACCTCTCAGCGATATAAATTAGAAGTTCATCGCTACCAAAGTGTTCGACATTGATGTCAAGCAAGTTGCCACAGCTGCGATCGACAGCGTGGACGCACATCTTCTCGAGGTCATAGTCCATGTCACATACCTCACCCAACTTGTGCATATCAATGGATCTCCACATTAACGGGTCTTTGCAGATCTTTCGCCACTGACAACACACGCTTTGGGCGCTATTCAGGATCTCAATTGCACCCAGCCGAGAGAGAATCGAGGCCGTCACGTCCAAGGGCAGCTCCAGCCAATTACGGGTTTCGGATGCTGTGGTCATGGTTCGCTCGGAGGATTATTTTTCAAGGAAAACTGGGAAATTTTGTTGGTAAAAAGACAAAGAAATAGGCGTTCGAAGAGGGAAAAAAAAACCTGTTGACATTTGGGTTTTTGATATGTTGGTTCGCTTCGTGGATATTAAAAGCCCATGTTGCTTTACAAATTGACAATTATTTAAAATTGATGTAGAAGCAAAATCGTTTTTAATAATATTATTATTTTGATGCATTAGTTTTAAATTTACGAGCTGCTTGCTTAATCTATTCATTATATGATAAACTTCAAAACAGAAGTGGTGAGAATAACTGAAAACTTGTAGACATTTACCATCCATGATAGGTCAGCATCCCTACCCAAACATAAAGCTAAACCTTAAAAACACCAACCATGTAACAGTATCAAACTGATACCATAAAAACTTGTCTTGAAACAAACAAAAGTCTCCTAGAAATAGATACCTAAAACAATATGGATAAGCATCAGAAATTAGCTCCAACGATAGAGCTTGTCACCAAAAGACTGCTAGAGTAGAGTGTTCTGCTTCAACCAAACTCTGTAAATTTAACAAACGGGTCTAGGTGTTTATGAAAATATCATCGCTTAGCATCAATCCTGTCCAAAAATAAAAATGAATTTCCTTTTAGACCATCGGAAAATCCTTCACTTTTAACTTTGTCTCAAGGTTTGTCACCTCCTGGCTATATAAGAGATACATTAAAATCAGAATCATAACCATCAAAACCATCATAAGCATCATAATCATACCCAAGACCATAATCATCATAACTGAAGTCAGAAGGATAGTAAAAATCAGAATATTCAGAACTATCAACTTCTTCACTGAATTCAAAGTCATGAACTGAATCATTGAGGTGTCTCAAATTTTTAATCTGTTCAGCACATCTTCTCCCGATATCCCCTTCTAGATTAACATGGAAACACCTGCGCAGGTCAAGGGATTCAAGGGAATGGCACCCATCAAGAATGGCCTGCAAGCCATGATTTGTCAGGTTATTTCCAACAAGCTGGAGGTGGCATAGTCCATGCATGTTTTCTGCAATAGCCAGTGCCTCCTCGTCATACTGATAAGAGGGGTCTCCCTCTTCATTAAATTTGAATGTTTTCAGAAGAGGGCAACTACGCCCAACAGCTTCTATAGCAGCTTTGCCAGTACCACCAGAATAAATTTCAAGCTCTTCCAGCAATGGAAATTTTTTAGCTGCTTCACTCAATCGCTCATCTGAAATATCATAGCAAGTTATAAGTCGGAGGCGTCTGAGATTACTTATTCTGCAAAAAACATCAAAATAAAACACGGTTGCTGTAATCAGCAATCAAACTAATGAATAAACTTACCAATAGTGTAATAAAGTAGAGAAAGTAACACATATTTCTAACATTTCTATTATAAAGGGTAAATGTCAATTGAAGGAACCAAAGGATTAAAAGTTTCCCTTGTTACCCTATACCAAACATTTGGATTAAAAAAAGAAAAATCTAAAACACTTCTGGCATATTCAAGAGCAACTGCCAACAGAAAGCACTGACAATTAAAGAACACTCTACTGCAATCACAAATAACTAATGCCCCAAAATGTCTTTGTGACAGCTCGAACTAACATTCCATTTGCCACATGATATCCCCACGGGCACCTTAACAGAGAAAGAGAATCTGAAGGATCCGCAGGTAGATCAATCATGATTTTTGGGACATAACGACCAATACAAAGAATGATAATTGGAAATGCTCACTAACAAGAGATTGACTCAATTGGCAGGGATCGTTCACCTCAATGCAAAGGTCTTGGGTTCAAGTCTAGCAGATGGCCTTTTGGAGTTATCTTAGGCTGTTGAGTATGACACATCTTCCCCTTCAGCAACCCATCTACCCCGGGATTTTACTTACCAAGAAAGAAAAATATATTTGGAAATGCTCATGTACACATTGCTGCTTTACACTGATATAAAAGTCCAATGTTGTCACAAAGGCTATGAAAATCCAACTACAAAGAAGTATCTATCCACAGTGAAATGACTTCAACTTAAAGTGCATTTTATAAATCTAATCCACAGCAAACGCCTCACTGGTTTAGTCAATAGCACACTGAACCTTCTTGCTCCAAAATTTATGATATTGAGTAATATTAAAAGTTTCCAAATAATCACTAACAATAATAAACACATTAAGAACATAAGTAAAAGAGAACCCACGACATCTCCAATTAACGGCTACTATTCATGAAGTAAACCCAGTAAACTGATTAAGCCGAATGGTCAAGATTGATCATTATTCAGTGATACGATTATGAAGGAAATAGTATGACTACATTACCTCTAAGTGATATAGGTGAGAAGCTCATCCGTACCAAAGTACTCAATATTGATATCGACCAAACCACCACAGCTACGATCAATAGCATGCATGCATATTTTCTCGAGATCATAGAAATGTGAGTCACCAGAATTCCGCATGTCGATGGATCGCCACATGGATGGATCCTTGCAGATGTTGCGCCATTGGGTGCATACTTTTTGAGCGCTCTGAATGATCTCTATGGCTCCCAGTCTCAACAGAATCGACGCCGTCACGTCCGGTGGGAGCTCAAGCCAGTCTCGGAGACAATGGCTCCTTGAATGGCTCGTATTCGCTTTCCGACTTCGTTTCGGTTTCAGTTTGAGTTTCAGTTTCAGTTTCGGCATCGTGGGATTCGGTGTTGGTGGACGACTGGACGTGGCTTGTTTGGGGATTTTCTAGGGAAATTTTGAGCATTAGCGAAAGGGAAGATTATTTTTTTTTTGGGACGGTTTGTGAATTGTGTTAGGGCAAGAATTGACCCCTTTTTCATTTATTCTGTTAAATAGAAAAAAAAAAAAAAAAAAAAGATAAGAGTATAGTTTTTTAATTTAGAATTAAAGATTTTTATGAAAAATCCTTAAAAAAATTTTTAAGGAAAGGATTTTTTTTTTAATTTAGAATTAGAGAAAATTGCAGATTTCATAAAAAACCTATATTAAATTTATAAATCAATTACCAAACAAAATTATTGTATTCGAACTTAAAAAAATTATTATATTTAAACTTTATTAACTTAACCAATTTTGTTTTTTTTTTTTTTTTTTTGCATTTTATTCAAAACTTCTAAATAAATTACATTTCCTAAAATTTAAATTTTAGAGATACTAAATCCGAAATTCTAGGGTTGCCGAAGCTTGGGCCTTCGAAAAGCTCTCGACTTTTTGGTTGATCACTTCTTTTGGTTTACATGACATGCATCAATTACTCCATAATAGTATTATTTTGCATCGAATGACTGAAACACCTGACTCTAAACCTATTGATGAAACAGGCAAACAAACAGCTTTAAAAAAAAAAAGTCTTATATTAACACAACAAACAGCTTTTTTAATTTAGCATCGCATGATACCTCAAGAACCATTTATAAATTAAGCAGCAATCAACATGTCATGATCAAAATTCTAAGAGAAAGTTTAATATTTAAACAAAGTAAATAGCCCCCAAAAGAAGGAAACTAACATCATTTTTTAACTCCTACATACTGAAAATTCAAGCGTCAGCTGGTTTGGTTAGAGCCTTGCTGCTTCGGCTTCATTCTTCAAATGCTACGACTTCTTCCGACACGTCCAAGAGTTCCTCTACTTCAACTTCTTTGGCCTCGTATTCCTCTTCCTCATCACTAGCTTCTCCATCCCTCAACTCCTGCCTCTCCAATTTTTCTTCCTCATGTGCCCACCTCCATTTGCTAACCCACTTGTCCCATTCCTCCTTCAACATCCTTCTCTTCTCACGATCTTGCTCACTCAATAGCATCGATACATCCTGGTCCTCTGCCTCGTACTTCTTACTATACTTCTTCAAGTTCCTTGCTATCTCTTCCTCCTTCTCAGGAGTCAAGAAGGATGGTGGTCTTGGGCGCCACAAGAACTGCAATAAAAGTTGGCAAGAACAAATATACAGCAAACAATGAGATCATGAACTGACAAAGGAACAAACACTTGTACTAAACAATCTAACTGCAAGAAATCATTTATGCTAATATTAGGTAGAATAATTCATTCACCTGGATGAAATGATCCTTCAATATCCGGTAAAGTAGCTTGCCATTAAAGGACCATATGTTGAAACCATTTTCCATTTCATGAACTGAAGTCACTGAAGTTGCAACATACCTTACATAAACAAAGAGGGCACTTGTTAGAATAGAAATTTTAAGAAACTTTTCTATTAAAAAAAGAAGGCAATTTCTTTTCCTTTTAATAGCAGAGAATTTTAGTTCAACTAAACACAAAACACAATAGTACAAATAAGTAAATCCAAAATAGATGTCATCAAATTGTTAATGGCTTACCTTCCAGTAGGATCCCATTCAATATCTGTGGCCATAAAATGTTCAGCAGTAGCCATGGTTTCAAGCTCATCAACATTGAAGAATTCCAACTGACCATTGAAACCCTTCAATCCGGCAAGTACTATGAAACGGCCACCAGGTGACCAGAATAGGGCATTTGCCTGCTTGCCTTTCAGAGTAGTGAGCTTTGAAACTCGGCCCAAATTATGTGTAGTTCGCATTGTGTAAAAGCTAATATCAGGCCTTGGATTATCCCCATGTATAACAGCAAACCTATGACCCTTGGGCTCCCAAGCAAAGGCAATTATCTTGTCATTTTTATTATCAAGCTCCAAAACCTCAATTGGTATGTCCCTTTCTTTGATGCGGAAAAGCTCAAAGCCAGTATATGTACTTTTTTTTGTTTTCGTATAACGATCAGCCTGGACAGCAAGATATTCACCATTGCTTTGCCAGTACATTTTGCAATCACTGACACTGAAAAGATTCTTTTGCCTCATCTCCTCTTTACTGGGGATTTGAACTAGACTCACCTGAGAAATACATGCAAGTGGCATATTAGTTAACATCTAAATCGAAACTCATAAAATAATGGAGCCTCTCAAACAGAGCACAAGTGCTTACCCTAGCAGGTTGGTTTCCACCTCCAAGTTCAGGAACAAAAAGTGCAAGAATGGGATCTGTAGGTGACCAACTGAAGTCCACAACATTTTCAACCTTCAAAGATTTCTTGTCAATAAGGCTAAAGGTCTCTGCTTCATAAACAGATATCATATTCTTCCCAAGTTTGGCGAAATACTTGTCCTCTTTTCCACCTCCCCATCTGGAACATGACAATTCTAGTTCATGAGATACAGGGATACTCACCAAAATGAGATGAAAGGAGAGGGTTGAAAACAAAAATAAAACAAATGACTTTATGAAGGACAATCGGACGAAAGAATCACCTGAAAACAGGCCAAGAAACTCCAGCAACACTACCAGCTCCTCCAATTGCAAATTCATCAGCACTTCCCTTAAAATCTCTCATCACTTTCCCCGTTCTCACATCAAAAATGTTCATCACAACCATCTAAATACATTAAGGTTATATTAGAAATGACATTGGAAAAGGAAAATAAAAATTAAGTAACAAGTGACTGGTTTGAAAACCTCACATTTGCATCAAGAGGATTGCTTGGTTTGTGGCTGCTGTAGGTCACCAAAAATTTCTCACCTGGAGAAAAATCAATAAGCTTAACCTGCATCAATATTATTGCAGGTTAAATATGAGGTAAAGCAAAGATAAGAGAATATGTTAACCAAAAGCCTAATGCTGACCAGTGGATGGGCATAACGCATTAGTCGATTAAAGGTATTAGCCCCACCCCAAACTGCAGCTCCTTGCCTGTGAACTGTTGCCAAGTATGTCCCCAGGGGAGACCACTGCACAAAACTGTCGGTCCAGTACTGAAAACAGAAACAGTTATAATCAATTATAATGCATGAACAATTGGCTATTGAAAATGACAACCAATATTACTCTGTCCAAAGACATGGACATGGATCTCTAACCACCATGCATAAAACGCACACGGACATAAAGGGAAAGAAAGGGTTTCACGAACTAAAAGCCACAGTATGTGATAAAAGGGCAAGCTACTTACAGTGCGCTTGTAAACAAGCTCAGTTTTAGACTGCCTTGCATCATTCCATAGAACCTCGGTATCAGTGCCAGCATGAATTACAAATTGATCTCGTGCCTTTTCATCAGTAAGCCACTTTTGAAGATTTTCCTGGAATGACATCATAGTAATCAATATATAAATTTCTAGCACTAGGAAGCATAGAGAGAACAGAGACTTTATGTAATAAGAGAATAAGACTTGAGATTATCTGTGACATAAGATGGTTAAGTTGTACTTAGAAACACACTTCTTATAGAAGTAAATTCTACACAATGTCACACAAAGTATAAACTACAATTAACTTAAACTAAAATCTTAAATGAAATTACACTGGTATAAAAAAAAGTTAAAAATATTTGGCACTAATCCTGGCCTCAATCAAATCAAAATCATCTTTTACATTTGTAAATTCTTACATAAAGAATGAACCCATTGATACAAACTCCATAATTATTCATGGAGACAAATTGCATGTAACATACCATCAATGTTTGAACCGAGACATAGAATATATGAGAACAACACTAATCAACAATTTTACTTCATATGTGTATAGCCATTACAAGGAAAACATAAAACAAATGCATTTACTAACAAACAATGGAGGGAAAATCGTTTTAATAATATTACCCCAGGAATGTAGGGTTTAATCTCAGGAGGAGCCCATTCATCCGGAACTCTCATGTACTTATCAAAATCATCAAACATATTAACAGCAAAAATATGTGCTCTATCCAACTTGTACCCGTTAGTCTTCTCCTTAGCAAGCTCAGCTTCCTACATCCATAGCCAATCAAAGAAAAGCAATTCAGATTTGAAAACCAAAGCCATAAGACCAAAATTATTAAAAATTCAAAAGCCATAAACATCGAACCTGAGGAGTATTATACTCTATGAAACAATAACCTAGGGTTTTCTTAGTCTCAGGATCAACGGGCATCCAAAGGCCATCCTCCTTAATCACTCCAATTTGACTATAGATTTTTCGAATCACACCCTCGAGTTTGTCGAACTTTTCACGAGGAACAACCGGGAGATTATCGACCACGATGATGTTTCCGAACCCGGAATCGAACTCCAATTGATCATCATGGTAAACATCTTCGTCATCACTGTCCAAAAGCGAAAATTCGAAGGAAAAATAAAGAAAAAAGATGTCCTAAATATTTAGAAAGAAAATTAGGTTTAGTACCTGACGATGCCACAGTCTTCACCGGGAGGAAGTTGGATGGAATTGAAATCGATATTCATATCGATGCCCATGCGAGCCGCTGTAGCCTCTATCTCGTTCATTAGCATCACCTCCGCCGCCATGGTGGGCTAATTCTGTTCTTCGCTTTTTGATCGGAGATAATAGAGAGCGGTTCAATGATTTTGGCTTTTCTATACTGGAACTGGTAGAGTGCTCTACAGCTCTAGGGTTTTCCGAGTTCATGTATGAGTGGGTTTGGGGCTAAAAAAAAAAAAACCAGAAGAAAAGAAAGTGAAAGAGAAAAAGAATGGCTTGTTGCCATGATCCAACCCAAAATCACTTTTTATGGCCCAATTACTCTGGGCGACACCCATGTTAAATAACTTTTTTTTTTTTGCTGTTTTCCTCTTTAAATTTGTTTTATTGGCCAAACCTTAAATTTATTTTTATTTGTGGTGAGAGACTACTTGCTAAATCCTTAAATCTGTTTATTATACCGATAGTTTCTTAAATTCATTCAATAAAATTTAACCTCGTGACAAAGAGTGGATAATCAACTGATATTTACTCATTCCATCGCAAATTATTTGGGTGATTGATGTTTATAGAGTTTACAAAAATTTTAATTTTAATGTATTTAATATTAAATTTCAAAATTTTATATAAAATTAAAATCTTGTATTTTTAATATTAAAAAATAAAAAATTTAAAATATAAAAAAGTAAGAGTTTTGAATATTAAAAAAATTAATTTTGAGATATAAAAAATGAATAAAAAAAGTTTTGAATAAATAAAAAAATTATTTATCATTTTAAGTTAAAATTTTATATATTTAAAGGATCAGTTAATTTAATTTAATTTATTAATTTCAATTATTTATTTTTGAGCCATCAATATTAATTGCTTCTAATTTATTTACATAATTACACTAATTTCATCGTTGGAACTCAACCGGGTCTTCTTTGTTATTGTAAAAGAAAGTATACGTACAAAAGTGCTGCTTAACTCCATGGGTTGAAATAATTGCCCAAGAAAGAGAAGCAGAAATTAAAAGAGAAAACCATAGAAAAATGAGTGAAATCTCAATAACAGTAGCAGTGGGAGCCAGGCTTCCAGCTCATCATACCGATATGCAACCTTATCCAAATAAGAAAAGCCCAATGGAGCAATGCCAAGTCATCAAGTAGTATCCAAGTGTATCCAACTCTGGCTTTCTGAAGCCACAAATTGTTCATGTGGCTCCAGCAGCAGTTGTTTTATGGACTCTTTTAAACTAGAAAGACAGCCAGGGAGAGAAAATTGAACTGTTTCTGATTATCATTCTTTCCCTTTGAGATTATCAAATGGCAGCTACCGCAATGACGGCTCTCCCTCAGTTCAGTGGGCTAAGACCCAAAATTTCTGCAGCTCCGGCTAGGAGCCTGGTTAGTGATTCTTGAAACTTGGTTCTGGTTTTGCAGGTTTAATATGAATTTCTTGGTTCATAATCCTCATAGTTTATGCTGAAAATGCAGGCCGCGGTTCAGCCAATGAGGCGCAAGGGAAAGGGTGCTCTAGGTGTTCGCTGTGATTTCATTGGATCTCCCACAAATTTGGTCAGGATTTCATTCAAGTTGCCATATTTTCCTATATATTACGAAGCTTGAACTCCATAAAAACTACAACGCTATAAGTACCAAACTAGGGAAAAAGAAAAACAACTAATATAGATAAGTGAAGGAAGATTATATTCGAGATTTGATCAAGTTTTTTAGGGGAAAGTTGCTCTTACCCAACACAAGTTAACAATCCAGACTTTTTAGTCTATTGTTAGAAGGAAAAAACCTCGTGTTTGGTTCAAAGGATCCATCTTGTGGGTAAATAGTTAGTAATTTCGCAAGCCTTTTTAATGGTTTTTTATCTTTGAAATATATTGTTTAGAAATTTTTTGTGAGGGTGACTGGTAATATTTGGGGTATTGGACAGATAATGGTGACAACAACAACCCTGATGCTGTTTGCTGGGAGATTTGGGTTGGCTCCATCAGCAAACAGGAAGGCTACTGCTGGACTGAAGCTTGAAGTAAGGGACTCTGGCTTGCAGACTGGTGATCCAGCTGGTTTTACTCTTGCAGATACTTTGGCTTGTGGCTCTGTTGGCCACATTATTGGCGTTGGGGTCGTTCTTGGCCTTAAGAACATTGGTGCTCTGTAAAAAAAAACAAAGAATTAAGCAATTTGTGTTGATACTTTTCGGCCGTTTCTATATATTTGCACCGAACGTGCATTTGTACCAATTTGCTCATCTCTTCTTAAGGCCTTAAACCATATAATCTAATTTCGTTTTAGTACTGATCTGAGATATATCAAAATATGATATATTTAAAAATAATTTTTTATATCAAATAATATCAATTGTTTTTGTTGTTTGGAATAACATGTTTCAGTTTATATGTAAATGTAAAATATATTTTAAATTTTTAACTTATTTTTTTATTATTTAATTATTTTTAATTTAATAAAAATAAAATTAATTGATAAAATAACTCTTAAAAGTTAAGTTTTTTATTTTTAATTTTTAATTTTTATATTTTATTTTGTTGGGCCAAATTTTATAATTTATAATTTATTTTTTATAACTTAAGTTTATAAGTATTTCAATCTTTTTAAGAAAGTAATTATACTCATTTTGAAAAGTTTAATAATTATAAAGTTTTGATTAGTTTTTTTTCATATCTTTATTTTTATCTTAATATTTATAAAAAATATTTATTTAAATATTATACGATAAAATTAAGTATTTCATAAAAATTTTATGATATTATTTATCAAACTTTTAAACTTATATATGTGATTTTTGAATATATTACATATTTATTTTATAAATTATTAATAATATTATAATGTATAAATTCATGCATATATTTATATTAAATCAAAAATTTTAAAATAATATTTCAAAATAATTGATACTAATATATATATATATCATATTTTATAAAAAAAATTAAAATGTTATTCGATATAAAATTAAAAACTTTGCCTTAAACACACAAAATAATAAACAGCAGCCATGAACGGGATAAAGCACGTTGTTCGACATAAGCCACATCCACAGCAATTTAAAAAGGCAAATGAATCTCTCTCGTACGTTGGTTAATTTCACGGTCATGTTGAACATGTGAAAATTCAAAATGATGTAAGAAAAATGAGGAGAAAATTACGCATGGGCTTCCAATTGACATCAATCATCATGATTTATTGCTTGAATTGTAGTATTACCTTTCTCATTCAGTAAACTTTTAGCATTGAAACATAATGATTAGTCCGTGTAATATGATAGAATTCTTGGTTTAAATAATAACCGCGAAGGCAAAAAAAAAAGATAATTAATTTTAAATTTATTACTTTAAAATATCATTCAATGATATAAAAATAACGTATTTTAAAATTTGAATAATAATTATATATAAATTTAATAAAATAAAACAATTTATATTTTATATTAACAAAAATTATAACATATAATTTTATATAAAATGTAATATAAATATATAAATTTTAATATTTTATATTATTGATATATAAATTATCAAATTATTATTATAAAAAAAATGTTAGGAGAAGAATCTTCTGGAATCAAGATGTAAAAATCAGCCCAACAGTCTGATAGAATGGCCATCGGCGCCGCTAAAATTGGTCTCATGGGCCAATTGATGAGACCCAATTGCCCATGAAGCCAAGCCATGTCGTATTACCTAAATACCCTCTACACGTGTGTACCTTTAACTCCAAAACCAGCGTGCCACTTCAACAGCAAAGCGAAGCTCCCAGACAGCCAGACCAGAAACAGAAAGGCAGAAAAGCTTACCTTCGGTTTGCAACCCTACCACACCCCCCCCCGAAACAAAAAAACTGCGATACACTTACCCTTAGGGCTTCGCCCTTTCGCCAGATATCTGAGGGGAAAGGAAAACATGAGTATATGGAACTACGTCGTTTCGGCTCACAAGCCTACAAACGTTACCCACTCTTGTGTCGGCAACTTCACCAACCCTCAAGAACTCAATCTCATCATTGCGTATGTCTTTTTTCCAGTTCAATTGCTATTTCTTTGCCCTAATTTTCTCTTTTCGAATAATTTTTTTTGTTTCAACATTTTCCGATAATAGAAAAGTTAGGGCGTTAATACTGTTGAGCAAAAAAGATTTTTAATGATTAATGACGAGGAATTAATCCTGTTACTTTAATTACGCATTCAATTTAATTGTTCTTCTGATTGCAGAAAATGTACTCGAATTGAAATCCATTTGCTTACTCCTCAAGGATTACAGGTGTCTAGCTTAATTTCTGCTTCCTTTTATGGCTGAAGATGAAATTTAATACGAAAATTAAGAAAGAAAAGATTAAGAAGTGCATTTTTTTTCGTGTTGCAGCCTATGTTAGATGTGCCGATATACGGAAGAATTGCGACGCTTGAACTTTTCCGTCCACACGTGCGTAAATATCTTTATTATTATAAAACATTCTTTCGGAGTCGAGTAATAACTCGTGCTTTAATATATTTTATGTAATTTGTCACAGGGCGAGGCACAGGATTTTCTATTTATTGCAACGGAACGATACAAATTTTGTGTCCTTCAATGGGATTCTGAGACATCCGAGCTTATTACAAGGTTTAAACTAGAAAATATATACATATTTTACACTTTTTTTTTCATTTTGCTGTTTTGCTTGTCCTTCCAGCTTTTCAGACTAGATGTATGCATACTTTATGATGTAGTTTTCATTCTGCCTTGAACAATCAACTTTAGTATCAAGTGCACATTGGTTTCTCCTGTGGGAGCTTTGATTTTGAAAATATGAACTTGAGTGGTTTGTTTGTTCGATCGTTTATCATCTTTTCTCTAGTAATATCTGTTCCTTCCTTGGGGCTTCTCTGAGATTTTCGTAAGCTACTTTTTGTTTGTTTGTTTGATTATATCTTCCCTAAATTCAGGCACAATTTCTCTTGTTGCTGCTATTTGCAAACTGCACCGCATCTGCTTGATGAAGTTAGATTGAGTATTGTGTGTACAGATTATGAAGCTGTGGGGAATTTTATCTCGCCTTTCTGCTTTGTGATTCTTGTTAAATTGCTATTATTAGTTCTGTTAAAAAAGAGAACAAGATGGAATAAAAACAGTGCTTCTACAGTTTTGTTGCATAGATTGTGTTTTCTAGTCATTCTTTCATCAAATTCATGTTTAAGTGTTATGCAATTTGGGCCATGGTGATGTCTATAAGAATTTTTTGGGTGTGTTTATGATTTTCTTCGAGCAAATATTCTTGGAGCTAAGACATATTCTATTACCTGCAGAGCAATGGGGGATGTTTCAGACCGTATTGGTCGACCCACAGACAATGGACAGGTAATCATTGTTTATTTTATGCTGATACCTGTGGTGCGTTCATGTGTTTCTTGATGATGCAATGTTGTTAAACTTATTTTTCATTATGCTTTCCAGCCAAAAATTCATTGATTCCTTCTTTCTATTTTCTGCAGATTGGCATAATAGATCCTGATTGTAGGTTAATTGGACTCCATCTATATGATGGGTTGTTTAAGGTATATACACTTGATGTAGCATTAGCAAATTCCAAATTCAAGCCTATATAATTTGCTGTTTACCATTCTTATTTCTGGGAAAAGTTGTACATTATGTTTTGTTGTTTTCTCAGGTTATTCCTTTTGATAATAAAGGGCAACTCAAAGAAGCATTTAATATAAGGTATTCTTCGTCATTTTGATCCATACAAGGTTCTTTTTGAGTAACCGAAGAGATGGTTATGATCGTAACCAGGAGTGAATGGTAGATGCTGGATGAACCATTTTTCAGTTATCCCTTTAAATTTAATTTTTTCTACAGGCTACTTCATGTTTGTTGCAGTAACTGTTTTTTTATAATAGTTCAAATTAGTTTTGGTTGTGACCTATATTTCAGTATAGATCTGGTTGGTTTTTTAGTATTGCCCCTTTCTATGATGTAAATAAATCTTAACTAATCAAACAAAGTTATTATGTTCAATTAAATGAGCATTAGATATTGCTTAAAAAGGGTGTTCTTGATATTGCATCCTTATGGTTGCTATTTATCTTTCAGGCTTGAGGAACTCCAAGTTTTGGATATCAAGTTTCTGCATGGTTGCTCAAAGCCTACAATTGTAGTTCTATACCAGGTCTCAATTTTCTTTCTAAATGCATATGTTTAGTCTGGACCCATGGTCTTTCTTTGTCTCTCTTTATTACTTTCTAAGTTAAGGCATAAAACTTTCAAATGTTATTGACATCGCATTGGGCTAAGGCTTTTGGAATTAATCTAAACTTACCTAAATATCCTAAAAGGAAATAGTAGTGATTGCTGCTTGAATTTTACATATAGGAAAGAAATTTGATTAGGTTTTTGCATGCCATTAAGCTCAAGTCAGTAGGATAGTATCATATTGGTTAGCTGTATGTGTTGGTAGTGATTTAGTTCTCTTGCATTTATTTCATCTATTTTATTTATTTGTAAACAACACTGATACGCTTAGATAATTGTTTGTTTTCCCCTTCATTTTGTGTTCTTTCTTACAGGATAACAGAGATGCACGTCATGTTAAAACATATGAGGTTGCTCTAAAGGAGAAGGACTTTGTTGAGGGACCATGGTCCCAAAACAATCTTGACAATGGAGCTGATTTGCTTATACCTGTACCCCCACCTCTCTGTGGTGTCCTTATTATTGGGGAAGAAACGATTGTCTATTGCAGTGCCAATGTGTTCAAAGCCATCCCAATCAGACCTGTAGGTCACTTATCAAGTTACAATTAAATCTTTACCAGTTCTTTATGGATCGTTAGTTGTAATTTCTTGTAGATTTGACACTTTCTTGTTGATATTTGATGTTCACTTCTAGTCAATTACAAAAGCCTATGGAAGAGTTGATGCTGATGGATCTAGGTACTTGCTTGGCGATCATGCTGGTCTTCTTCACCTTCTTGTCATAATCCATGAGAAAGAAAAGTGAGTGAGCGTTCATTATTCTTTTCAAATGTCTGTAGTTAAACAGTGGGAAATTTTTTAATTAAGAAAACATATCAAAGCTCGGTTTAGGTTCTGTGGCATTTTGCATAACTGGGGCATTCTTAAGAGTATGTTATTCATGTGCATCTTGCAGGGTTACTGGACTCAAGATCGAACTCTTGGGAGAAACTTCTATTGCATCTACAATATCATATCTTGATAATGCATTTGTCTTTATTGGCTCAAGTTATGGAGATTCACAGGTATGGCAGACATGAATATACTTTATTTGCTATGTGCTATTAGCATTA